CAGGAGTGTACACACTTCCCTTTAAAACCCCTGTCTCCCCTTGTGTCTATTTCATAGAAATGTCACATGGCCATGCTTTTCTGCAGCTTTTCTGCAATAATGTGTCATACTGATTATTCATGTAGTTTTTGACTCCAACAACTGTCTCAGTTTAAAGGATTATGACATCAGTATTAAATCAAAGGTTCAGCTCAGGCAGTGTCAAACAGCCATACATGTTCATTTGGGCTGTAATGACCCAGAGGTTGGAAGTGTTTCTCTATAAACCTTTGGTTCTATGCACTTTTATTCACAGCAAAATTGAAACCAAATAAAGAAATTTGTTAAATGAACACATTGAATCATGCTTGTAAAGGCATGTTATCTGAAAGTAAAGAGTCTTTGTAGCACTAATAATAAATGAAAACGTTTGCACACACTTCGTCTTGGCCTCTGCTACAACTCAAGAGCGGTCACTAGGCATCAGGTGCCTGGTGCAGCCTGGCTGTTACGAATGGCTGTTGACCACAAGCAACAGTTGTAAATATATCTTGTTGGAAATGGGTACTTTATTGATTTGCTGTGCAACTGAATCACTCTGTATCACACTGTATCACACTGACAACACAAGGAGTGCCTTGACAAACAATTACATTACAATTACAAGAAGTGTAACTCAGGCCACACTTCTCTGAACTCGAGAGACACATCTTTCTTTAAATCTTGTAGTGTGCAGCTGGCCTCAGCATTTGTGTAAATTTGGTGATTGGTGATTGTAGTGGTCCGAGACACTAGTGGGGCAGATTGGCAGCCACGCTTTTGCCTGTACCAAAGAGCGCTTCTGGCTTTTAAATGAAATGCTGAGTTTCTTAATGTCTATAATCTGATGATGTCATACACCCAAAAGCGCAACTGGAGTCAGGTAACTCAATTTTTTATGTTTTTTAATTGTTATGTTTTTATTATTATTATTATTATATCTGAAACTCATAAATAACCGTATCTTTCGTTCTAACCTGATATACTTCATAGTTTAAAGTGTTAGTAAAATATGAATTCATGACATTGACTGAGTTTTGCTAAGCCCTCTTTAGTATCTTGGTTGTGTTTGGCGATGGCAGTGCTCAGTACTTGTATTGTCCTTTGATGAGCGTTGTTTGGAGCCTGTCTCTGTGTGCCCTGCAGCCCCTGAACTGGTCTGTCAACATTCCTGTCAACATCTACAGCATGAGAGCGGTGCAATTGCAGGAACTGACTAAACCAACCAGGATCTGCTTATTACACCACTAGCTCTTCTGAGTAGAGCTTAAAGAAGACCTATTATGCATTTATGTATGAAACTATCACACACATGGATCATGATTTTAAATCTCATATTGCAAACCACAATATTGAGCTAAAACACCTCTATAATAGAAAAAGGTTCCTGCCTGTTTAAATCTGCAGAACTGATAGCATAATGCCATGCCTTTTAGGCTGCTGGAAATATGAGGGTTTTTATTTCATTGTTTTAAAAATAATTATGACATTGCTAGAATCCAGTGAATATTTTAATGATCATAGGTTTGCACCAAGCTAACAAGAACACATCTAATTTTTAATATCTAGTAAAAAAGTTCTTCAGAATAAAGGCAAAAGATTTTTTTTTTTTCATTTGATTGTTCTGGGTATTTGTATCTGAAGTTTAAAAAGCATATTTGTTTTCACAGTTGTCTATTAACTGCAGTTTTCTCATTATTGATCCATTATCTAAGGCAGTATAATAATTTCTGATCAAGTACATCCATTACTGTACATTGTAAATGCAGGAAGAATGTAAGAATGTTCTTTTGAAGACATTTGTTCACTCACTTTGGCCCAAGTTTTACGTTTTCCCCCAATGGTATTTCTTGGCTGATGTCAACAGTGATTCAGCGTTGAGTCCAAAGACATCTGGACATGTTTTTCAGTGTTACAAAACAGAAATGAATGTAGAGCAAATTTGACTTACAAACTCTCCTCTACTACTAATGCTTTGACACGTGTGCACTCCATTAAACACTATCGAATGTTGAAAAAAACACAGAATAATTTGAAACAAGAACCATAAAAAAATCGACTGAAATGGCTGTTAACTAGCTAATAATTAAAGGTACACTTGAACTTTTCTGTCATAGGGTCTATCATCTGCTTATGTCCAAGAAGTTATTGCTTTGCCTGGAAGGTTCCACAGTATGGCATTAATCTAATCCATCTCGATATTGTCACTAAGGCCAAATTACAGGTCAGCTCTGTAAGAGGCCACCTCGCTCATAGTAAGCAAAAAGATATGTGTTATGCCATATTACGGAACATTTCAGGCAATGCAATAACAGCTACAATGAGACAAGTTGATACAATTACATCTTCAATGAGACTATGAGACAACTGGACCCTCCTCTTTGAACATCATAATCAGACAACATTCAATATGTAGTTAATAAGTTAATAAAGTGGACTGTTAGGTATTGCTAAACATTTCCCATAAAAAATTCCATTAGTTTTTTCCTGGAGCTTACAGCTGCTGTCACAAAACAACCTTCACACACACTTAATTTATCATTGTCAGTGCTCACATGCCTCTACACACATCTAGACTTCTCTTGTCTCTGAGGCATAGCACAGTCTTAATCAACATGTTTGACTCAAGCACACTCTGCCTGAAGGACCAAATACCTCGACTCACCCCTGTAGTGCCTGCTCTGTGTGGGGCATATGCATGAGCACATGCACACACACATGCGCACATGTTGGGTTTCCATGCTTTTTTGAGGACATTCAATTGACTCACATTTATTTCCTGGAGACTGATCCCAACTCTTAACCATAGTTACTACTTGCCTAACCTTAACCTAAACCCCAACTTAAACTTATTTTAACCATTGTCCTCTGTTGTCAAGTTGATCCAGTAATAAAGGTTTTACATCATTGAGACCAAATTTTTGTCTCCATAAGGAAAGCAGGTCCTGAGACTGTACAGATTTTAGTCGCCACAATGTGACAAGTATCTGCACGCACACGCACACACACGCACATACATGCAGCTGGTATGAGCCCTTTAGTGTAATATACGGTGTGACCTCTGCTCTCTGAAGAGGGACTGTTGTGCCTGGCGCAGCTTCACCCCTCATGTTCAGGTCATGGATGATCGCATAGCTCCAATGTAGTCCTGTGTGCTGGGAAAGCCCTAGAACATTATGTTAAAGTATGTTCATTTGGTATGCTACATTAAATAAAGTGGATCAACATTATTAATATGCTAGCTTATGTTTCTTTAGGCTCTGTCATTCAATATATTGAAAGTGCCTTTTATAATATAGTTTAACTTTTTCAGTGTAAAGACTGCCCTTATGTAGGTTATAGAAGTTTCCCATAGGGTTCCTAGGTTTTTTTAATATATATAAAACCTTATGTGCACTGCGACTTGTATCTTGATTTTTACACTGTGTGCAGTATTATTAGGCAAGTGAGTATTTTGACTATATCATGATTTTTATGCATATTCTCCAACACCAGGCTGTAGAAACTTGAATTCTTATTGGATTTAAACATATCCAGTGATGTGTGTTTGTCTAATGAGGGAGATCAACACCCTATGTCAAGGTGTCAGAATTATTAGGCAGCTGCTCTTCCTCAAGCAAAATGGGCCAAAAACAGATTTAGCAGACTCTGAAAAGTCAAAACTTTTAAGAGGGATGCGGCACTCTTGAAATTGCAAAGATATTGGGGTGTGGTCATAGAAGCATCAAACGTTTTGTTGAAAATAGTCAACAGTCTTTGCAAGAAACATTTTGAGAAAAAAGAATCAAACATGAAGCTACCAGAAACCCATTATTCACCAGTGCTGTCATATTCCAGAAACTACCTGGAGTGTTCAGATGTTCAAGGTGTTCGGTGCTCAGAGACATGGCCAAGGTGAGAAAGGCTGAAACCCAACAACCACTGAACAAGCATAGGCTGAAACATCAAGATTTGGCCAAGAAATATCTGAAGACAAATTTTTCAAAGTTTTTATAAACTGATGAGATGAGAGTGACTCTTGATGGACCAGATGAATGGGCCTTTAGCTGGATCAGTAATGGGCTCAGAGCTTAATTTCGACTCAAGATGCCAGCAAGGTGGAGGTGGGGTACTTGTATGGGCTGATTTTATTAAAGATGTGATTGTTGGACCTTTTTGGGTTAAAGATGGACTCAAAATGAACCCAAAGACTGTTCAACGAAGTACTCCACTGTGTGGCTAGCCATTAAAGGCTTTAAAGATGAAGAAATAATGGCATGGCCCCCACCCTCACCTGACTTAAACTCTCTTGAAAACTTATGGGCCCTTCTTAAACGAGAGATTTATGGTAAAAGAAAACAGTCCACTTTTCTGAACAGTATCTGGGACGCTGTGGTTGCTGCTGCACAAAATGTTGATCGGTAACAGATCAAGAAACTGACAGACACCATGAATGTGTAAGGCTTATGACCATTATTGAGAAGAAGGGTGGCTATACTGGTCGCAGATTTTTTTATTTTTTTTTATGTCAGAAATATGTATTTGTAAATGTAATTTTGAGATGTTTACTATTCTGACAGATGAAAATGAACAAGTGAGAATGGAAAATGTTTTTCATTTAGTTGCGTAATAATTCTGCACATAGTTACCCAATAATTCTGTACACATAGATTTTCTCCTAAAAAAGCTATAACCTCACTTTTACTTTCTTAAATATCCAGGTTTGAGGTTTATTAACATTTTAGATTGATTGAGAACACTGTAGTTGTTCAATTATAAAATTAATTCTCATAAATACAACTTGCCTAATAATTATGCACACTAATTATGCACACTGTGTAGAACTGTTTCTGCATGAAACTTATTGATACACCTCAATATCTTTTGCTTGAATTTTTAGTTTGCATGTCAGCAAACTTGGTCTAAATTATGGGTGCAATTCTCATGATCTCTGAGTGATTTCTTTGTGACATAAAAGTAAATTACTTGTTCAACTTTTTCAGGTGGTGGAGGGAAAAGGAATGGCCGGAGTAAGAAGTGGAAGGAGATGCTCAAACTTCCTCACATCAGCCAATGTGAGGAGCTACGTCGCACTATCGGTAAGAAATGACCAGCTGTAGGGGCAATGTTTGCATGTGCTCCAGATATCTGGTCGTCATTTGATTTCTGAGTTTTCTGATTATTGAAATTGCTAGTAATCTTGTTTTGATCTTTCATTTATATAGTAAACTAAAATGTTTCACTTTTTTTACTTGAATTAACAAACAAGGCATGTTTATTTACTTCTTCTACTTCTGAATTAAACTACAGCCCTGAAGTATAGACATGACAGTAATCAGATATAACTGATGATTATCCCAGTTATTAGATTTCTGTCCATGTAACTGTGCCCATTGATATTGTTAGAACTGATCAGCTGCAGGGACAGGCGCATTAGAAGTGCTGGACTTTAAACATTTACAAAAATTGAATGCCCAATATTAAACACAAAATTAATAAAAAAAAAAAAATCACTTATTTTACATAGTTCTGTTATACTCAGTTCTTGATTACTATGAAGTTCACAGAGACTGTGCGGATGTAGGGGTGTAGGAACAGTAAACCTAAAGTTGCATAATCTGAGAAAAATATCAAATTGTGATATTTCACATTTTCTGCAGGGTTGTCTTCACACTGAAGTGTTCAAATAAAGCGTTATGGATATTCTTTAGGCATCTGGATGGCCCCAAACAAATCAGCTGTAGAGACAGTGTACCCGATCAGCTGCTAAGACAGTGGACCCGATCAGCTGTAGGGATAGGGACAGTGGCAAAGAGGGTTGAGGTCCGGAGATAACGTGCCATGCTGCTATTGGGGTGGGTCTGACCTCTGTAGGAAGTGCAGATTGGACTTCCTTCCTCTTCTTACCCGTCCCCACCCGCTGTTACAGTCAGCGGACAGGAAACTGTGTGTGTCTGCATGTATCACAAAGATGGAGGTGGCTTACTGATATAATTTTCTAAGAAATTCTATGAAATTCTATATCTAAGAATTTTTTCAATTTATTTATTTATTTTTTAAATCAAATGATTAGTGAAGAGTTTTTTTTTTTTTTTAAAGATCAGTCATATAATGTGTTTATTGCATTTACTATTTCAACCTCTAAAATGTGTTGTCTTGTTCATAAGTAAGTTACATAGTACAAAACTGAATAATAAAAAATCTATAAAATATAAAAATATGTAACTGCTTAATATGACAGCAGTTTATTACACAAGGTGCCTGCAGGAAACATGTTATTATAAATAAGACTGTGATATGGCAAACAAAAAATCAAAATAATGTTTACATAAATTTGCAAGCCCCTATTTTGTTGCAGCAGCACAGTCAGAGAGAACTATACACATTTTTCTATGCTTCATTTCAGTTCATGTAATTCTAAACATGCTGGCACTGAATGATTGTCTTGGCATTTTTGAGATCAAAAAGATAAAATTATTATTCCCAAGTATTGTACATGATGTGAGTTCTTTTGATAATGCTGTAACATTTTTTACTTCCTTTCAATGCAGAACAGCTAACTCCTGTTTCAGTCATTTTCCTATCTGCATGTACTTGTTTTGTTTTTATTTGGCAAGATAAGTGTTCTTATTGGAGGATAAGGTGTGTTGGCATTTTACTGCAGATTACTGATACTGTTTATGTATGGCACAGAGGCAATTCTTTTTAAATACCATGTTAGTTTAAGGCTACATATGTAACCATTTTAATTTCATTAAGGTGATGTGTTGGTAAAAAGCTAAGTGAAGTCAATTTAAAACAATTGTGAAACTTTAAAACTGTAACCTGTGTTCATATTTGCCCTTGCTAAATATCTTTCTAACTAATGGGCTATGGGTCTGTTGGCCTATTGTCAATTCCTGAATGGCTGTGGTTCCCCTTGCTCCCTCATAATGCAGTGTCCTGGCAGTCGTATGCTGGCTCTGCAGCTCTGCTTTTCTGAATGCCACAGCGCTGTGTGTGTGTGAACTGGTTTGTGTGTAACAGTGCGTCACAGCTATCTCTGCCAGAGATTGCAGCGCTCCCCTCCCCCACACACTCCCCTTCTCTCTCATATCTCTCCTTCACTTCAGAGCAGCAGCGGGGCCGCAGAAAAGACTGAGGTTTGTACAGTGAGAAGAGGATCTGCTCTAATCAGGAGAAAGTGGGAGAGAATGGCCATGCACAGAGGAGGCCCAGCGCTGAGGCAGAATACAGTGTACCCACAGCTGATTGTGATTCGATACAAATCAAGAGGACACATGACGGCGTCACAAACACTGCATTAGTGAACCTATGAAATCTACTACAATGTTTCCATTAGTGTTTCAAACTAAGGATTTAACTTTGCATATATGCTCCTAAGGTACAGCACTATATGTTGTTGTTGTTGTTGTGGGTGTGTAAGCGTGCTTGTATGTGTGCGTGTGTGTGTGCGTGTGTGTGTGTGTGCGTGTGTGTGTGTGTGCGTGTGTGTGTGTGCGTGTGTGTGTGCGTGTGTGTGTGTGTGTGTGTAAAAGCATGCAGCAGCTGTTGTGGGTTACATACGTCACTATGACATAGAGGGTATTGCATAATTTCCCTATCACACTGAGCGCTGGATCAAAATAATCCTCGGTGTGTCCTTAAACAGGCGCTGGTGTGCGTGTGCACACACATGTAGAGACTCAGGCTCAGAGTAAAGCTGATAGCTCTGTCTTTGTTGTGTCTTGATAATGTCAAGCATTTGACCTTAGCCTTGACAAGTGCAGTGTACTTCTGAGGAGCCGAGATTACATTATGTGTGTAGCAGCCGATGTGTCTGAGGGACAGAGTACCCACTGCCTCGGGCTGCTCAGGTCCTCACTTTTTAATGCTGTATTTAGAGCCCTGCTTTTGGCCGCAGGACCTTTCATATCAACGTTTCTTGCATGTTCATATTAATTGATGACTCCCGCACCACGCTGCTGCTATCTATGTGCACATGCACATAGATCATTTTGCAACTCAATTACTGCTTAGTTACTATTTAGTTACTATTAGTTACTATTGCAAATGAGTTGCAAGCTACTAAAACCAGAGTTGCCTGCATCATAACCAGAACCACTTCCATCCACTTCACTCCGGTACTGCTTCCACTTCATTGGCCCAGGTTCAGTTTCAAATACAGTTTCAAATTCAGTTACCACCTACATATATGCAAATACGTATATGCAAAAAAACATATTATCAAATATTATTTAGGCACCATATGTTCTGAGTGCATGCAATGGTATGGACACAACTTTCCTAGAATATGTCTTATGCCTCCACTGTCCTGAGCTTGTCTTCCTCAAGTCCTCACGTCTCTCCACACATTAAACTTGTTGCTCAAGTAAAAATGCATTTTTAATTATCAAGCGTTTTATGTAACTTTTACTACACAAATTGAGGTCCGTCACCTCAGCTGGCCAGCAGCTAACTACAGCCACTGGGCTGGCACAAAAACTTGGCATTAAAAGAAAAACACTTTCTCTTTTGTTAATCTTTTTTCAAAACAAATTAATGGTGTCTTTGTAGACTTTTTATTCATGCGTTACTTAATATAAAACAGCAGTAATAATGGGAGTTAAGAGTGATGACTTAAGTCAATTATATTTGAAGTGCAGGTATCTGGAGTAGTTACTTCCCTACCTCATCCATCTCTGTAGACAGTGCCACTAACTTGTTCCTCTATTTGCTGCATCATTGAAAAACCTGCTGTGCTGTAGTTCACTAGGAACCATGGTTCATAAACAAATTTGCATGATCACCCCATGTAAACACTGGTGGCTTAGTCTATTGGTCTGTGTTATTATCACGTTGAGTCATTGTTAGGAGATCCTGATGAAGTATAAACAACATCAAGTTTTTTCTCTACTACCAACATAAACTTTGAGGACAAAAGCCTACCACCAGGAACTAAGCCACTTTATATAAGAGTCAGATATGATTGATTGTCAGCTTTACCAGAGTGGGGCAAGTGATAATTTTTTAAAATAAAAATTTTATTTGAAAATTGACAAAAAACTATATATTCCATCTGCAGTCAATGATTAAAAAAAAAAAAAAAAATATATATATATATATATATATATATATATATATATATATATATATATATATATATATATAAAATTTTACATACATACATACAAACTAATTCACCTAAAGGTTTTTAAATGCCACAGCTGATTGCATTTTAGCTTAAGCCCTGAAGAAGACACTGCATGTTGAAACTTGTTGGCTGGGCCTGTAATAATAAAAGACTAGTGTCACAAGGTAGAGTGCCTCAGCTCTATTTTTGACAACATTTTGCGCTAGTATATACACATTAAATGTTTTGCAAGGCTCTGAAGTAATATATTTTTATTTAAACAATATGCCTTTCAGTTTTCTGATATATGCTGATAAGTTATGTATTTTTATTTATTTTTTTGGGGGGGGGAGAATGGAGGAAAGGTTTAGAGCAGTGCAGCCCTGCAAACTAGTTGTAGAAGATTTAAATACATTTGATTTGTGCAATTAATTTAATTTAAAGTATTTAAACTATAATTCAGACTATTCTAAAACTGACCTTATTTTACCCCACAAATCTTGGAGCAAAGCAACTTCTCTAATCTGCTTGATTTCAAACATTAACAGAAAATTAGAATAAGCAGGTTAACTTTTGACAGTACATAAATTGTTTCTATCACCTAAAATAACCCAAATCAATCGTGACTTTTTCTTTCAATAGCCAAGAAGCCTGAGAAGACAAAGCAGTGGCTTTTCACTTGAATTCATGTTCACTTGAATCAATTCTTTCATGCCCAAAATGGCCTGTATCTCCTTTTCTGTGGAAAAGGGTTTTTCCCAACTTCATCTCACTGCCAGGACAAAATCAAAGAACAAATTCTGTTTTTGAACTTCTAAATATTGTATTTACAGATTTACATTGTGGAAGAGGATGTAGTAGAAATATCTAATGTTGTGGTTGTTTAGGTTTGAATGAGAAGAGCGCAGAGCTTCGGTGAGCAGGGCCAATAGTGTAATAACAACAGTGCAGCTGGAGGGATGTTGTGTAGATTTGATTTAGTGTCGGGGGCTGTCCTGGAGCTGTCACCACTCCGTCCGACCGCCTCTTCCCGCTTATGTGTGACCTGTTTGTTTGTGTGTGTGTTTGTGTGTGTGCGTGTGTGTGTATGTGGATGCTGTGTGGCTTTGCTGTCAGTCTTTGATGGAAAACGTCCTGGGTCGTCTTCCTCATTTGGTACCAAAGGAAATATGACTCAAATGGACGCCATTAGTCCTAATAGACTGGGGCCAGCTGCAGCAAACACGCACAGAAAATGGCTAATAGAGTGACACACAGGCTTTGTCGTAGTGTAAGCAAAATACATGTAAAACTGTTTTGAAAAATTCATCAACATTCATTCATAAGTTTATGCTAACGTTTTTGTTTTTTTTAATCTCATGAGTAAAGTTCAACATTTTTGTTTTGTTTTTTGTTTTTGTTGTTTTTTTTATTATGAAAGAGTATTTGATATTTTCTCCTACCAGGAATGTTTTATCTATGCCTTTGGTAAAACTTAAACAAAGTAATCTGCAGTGCTTTGCCATATAAAAGGAAAATGACACATGTATTTGTTAGAAAATATGTTTATATGAGTCATTACATTATGGTAAAGTTGGGATACCCAACTTTATTCTTGTATAAACTGTGCTCACACCCAAAAATTCATGAAGGGTAATACCAGCACTTCTCCAAAGCGTTTGAAATGAGTTAGCTTGATTTAAATGTCTATTCTCTATCTATTTGTGCAATATTTTTGCTTATACCATGTCTGCGTGTTTTTCAGAGAGGGACTACACCAGTTTATGTGAGAAGCAGCCCATTGGCCGGCTGTTGTTTCGTCAGTACTGTGACACGAGGCCAGAGCTCAAACGCTGCATTGAGTTCATGGATGCTGTGGTAAGAACCTTCACTGTTGCTAATTTCATGTAACTCCTGGTATCTGTTCTGGTGTGACTCACATTTACAGCTCTCTAACAAGATTGCCTGGAATCCAACAAAAAGAAGGAAGATTTAATGTACAAAGCTTAAACTAATATTAAAAGTCTTCTATATTTATATGTAAGAAGAATAGGTTAAATTCATTCATATTCTAGGACCAGTCACTGCCTTCTAATGTGTTATGCTTCATTCTAGGGCTGGACAATATGGTGATGCAAATCTAAAACTGATCTCATCCATGTGACTATTTTCTGTTTTGTACCTCATAGCTCTATGATCTGCCACTTTTCCATTGGTCAGCCTTCCTAAGGCTCTGAGTGAGTGACAGGTGGTATTAACCATAGTAAAGTATGAACTCTCAAAAGCAGATGGCTGTATTTCTCTCTTATTAAAGGCATGATACTAGTGATACTACTTATGAATTGTTATAAAATTTAAATCACATTCTAGCTCCAAGAAAATTGTGATATAAATTTTTGGCATATCTCCGGCCCATACTTTTCTTTGGTTTTATGTTGCTGACATGTTTGTACATTGAAGCTGCACATTTCTTTGTCCTTAGCTTTTCTTGAAAACCTGTCCAACGCATTTGTACAGTTGGTTGTGTAGTTGGGATGTGTGCCTGCTCTTGGCACTGGCTCAGGGTGGTGGGTGGAGTGACTGTTGGGGGTGATTAGAAACTTAGACAAGCTGTCAAAAGACTGTACCCCTCCCCTGCGTCTCCATGAGGTCAAGCCCACGTCAGAGGCTGGTCCCCTGGGTGAGCAGCCAAACACAGGCCCAGGCTTGTGCCGAGGCCCCTGGAGGTATGCGAGAAAGGAAAACAGGGGGATCATGCTTATTTAATGAGAACATGGCAACATTAGTCTTTCTCAAGGTAAGCAGACAAGCCAGAAGGGGGTATGTCGTCCACTGACAGACAAGCAGCTTTTACTTAGAGGGCTGGCTCCCGAACACGTCATATATCTTAAAGAAAAGTGAAGCAGGAATGGGTTTGAAACATTACCATTCTCTAACAAAGTAACATACATTATCTAGAGGAAAAAGTTACCCTTTTGGCCTGACGTAGTGCAGGCAATACCATGTTGTTGATAAATCCCAGGTCAACATGCTCCTCCATCTTGCCCTTCATTCTTGTCTTTTTTTTTGTTTCGTTTCTTTGCTTTTCAGTAAAGTATAATCTTTGTAGTGTCTTCTTTTAGGTCATTCATTAGGTTCATATCTCCTCTCCTGTTTTCCTACAGGCCATGTACCAACTGGCCCCTGATGAGAAGAGGAGGGACTGCGGACTGAATGTTTTAGACACATACTTTAATAATGGGGTAAGCGGTATGCAACTTTATGCAACCGATGTATGAAAAACTGGAACAATGGGAATTATTCTAATTTAAATCATCTCAGCTGTTGAAAAAGTTGTTTTTCTTCATGATGTTTTACATAATATCATGACCAGAAACGGGTGAAAAGTTGATTGTTATTTGGAAATACCATGGACTGAGATGCACAAGAACATTTGACCTCATGTTTTATATATATACATGAGGTCATAATGTTCATGTGCGTAAATCCAAGGTAGGTAAATAAAAGTAGAATTTTGTTGAGGACCAAATGCAAATGCCATCTCCAAAGCTGTAGCTCTTGGTTGGTGTTTCTGTTCAGCAGTGCTGCATTTGTATCAAAATGTTTCAAAACATAAAAAGATGATGTTACTGGAACTTGGATTGACGTTAATGGCAGTTTTTAAGTGTTTGTGTATCTATCTTGCTGTCTTTTATACCTCCAGTCATAGGTAGCCTAATTGCTTCTCATTTTGAATAGAGATGTAAATAAAATAACCTGAGTCTAATTGAGATATGTATTATTGTGCTTGAAGCATATTTAACAGAAAGGCTTCAGAAATGTTCTTATCGATTGGTTTAAAATGACATTTGTTCAGTGGCTATAGCTTTTGTTCATACAATATGTGGATTCTTATATATTTGTGAAATTTGGGTCAAAAGTGTGATCTCCAAATGTAACTGCGATGTATGAAAGAAATGTTTTCTCTTAATTTCAAATTTAAATAAGCTTCTGTAATATACTTTAAAAAACACACATTGGCACAGCACCTTTTATCTTGTACAGTACTAAATGAAATGGTAGACAACTTGTTAAGTCATTGTAACTGTAACAAGTCATGATATTTGTTTATTTCTACCTGTTCAGTCAGCGGCCCATTTGCCCGACATACCGCAGGACGTAGTGGCTGCATGCCGGGAGAGATTGGAGCAGAGTCCGTGTAAGGAGCTCTTCAATGACTGCACCAAGTAAGTCCCACCTTCTCCCCAGCACAGCTCCACACTGTACACTGTATTTTAAATACAGCATGAGACCCTGTCAAACAGCTTTGTGAGGTGTTAATATTGATGTTATACATGATTTCTGTAATCATATATACTTTTAGTAGTAGTGTGTGGTGACTTTTATGGGTATGCAAGCAGACTTGGGGTGGACATTAACGTTTGGCCGATAACAATTTAATAACACCACTTTTTATACATACTACATTGCAAATGAGTATTTATTTTACTGACATATTAAATGCATATATACTGACTCATTAATTAGAAATTAGACAGACCTAGACCTACATAGTTGATTAATATTTGTATATTGGACTGTATTTGACATCCTCTTTGTACAAAGAGAGCTTTTTGTGGTCTGCTTGTTTCTTCACAGGTTTGTCTTATTCCTACACCTTATTTATCTGAGCCTTCAGTACTATTGTTGTCTGTGTAATTATTATTATTATTCATCTAAAAACCATATTATAGTACAGCTTGATGTGTCACAAACGTCCCGTCACGTAAGTACAGCGTGTTATCACTCACCCCTCACTGATGCAAAACTATGAAACGTCCTGTATTTCCCTGAAGCGGACTGGGTCCAGAACATACACATGTTCCTCCACACGTGTGTAATTGTGCTGTTAATCCACTGACACTGTCGCTTGTTCATAAACACACAGATGAGGTGGAATCCTGGCTGCAACATACCTCTATTTCACTGTGTTTATTATAAAATATACAGTATTTGTTCATAATCTGGTCAAACCTGAGAGTTTAACAGTGACGGGAACCTATTCCTGCAGTCATTAAGTCATTAACAGTGTACTCATCATGGACCATGATGAATTTTATGTGGATTATCATAGTTTATTCATGGTACAGCCTTGGTTGATTAGCAGTTGTGATGCACCAATACCACTTTTTCCAAAATAAGTACGAATACTTCATTTTGAGTACTTGCTGATACTGAGCACCACCGCCTTAGCCACGTTAGCCTGCTACTATGTAAATGCAAGTACTGTGCTGTATTAAGAGTCCTAAACATTTTCATAGTTCGTGTGACACATGATTATAATTCAGCTTAATGTGCAGAACAGTTAATGTGTACTCTTTATGCTCAACTCCTCTCTGCTCAGCTGAGTGGCGAGCTGTGAGCATTAAATAAGACACAGTGCTCTTATAGTTTTATTGGCTCTTGGTATCGACAGCACGTCAACAAGTACGAGTATGAGCATTGGCACCTGGTAACTGACCTGGTACTGGTATTTGTACTGCTGTCTTCTTTCCTTGATTCGTTGTAAACCCCATTGGCAGATTTTATTACCTTTTTTATTTTGTATCAGTAGTAGTTATAATAAGCGGTTGTATATTTGTGGTTTGTTTTACTCCTTGTGCATGCACATTGTACTCAAGTAGGGCCCCTTGTTGGCCTGGACTGGAGTAAGTTTGAGGTAAAGGCGGAGTGCTGTTCTGCAGAGACACTGTGTGACTGTGGGGCTGTCAGTGGTGATGAGGCGGCAGCTGGCACCTGGGCTTTGGGGCCAATGAAAACGCGCCGTGGGCAGAGGGAGCATCCGGGCACTGGCACCAGAACAACAGGACCTCAGTGTGGCGCGGACACACAGTTTTACAACACTCACACTTTTGCAGGTGTTTCTGCTTCCTGTCCGCCGGCCAGAGCCTCAAACAGACCAGGGACTATTGCCCCAAATGTTCTTCTCATGCACAGAGTCCATAAGCACTAACCTCAGCTTAACTCCAGATAATGATTTTATTTTGAACTATACATATTCATGTATATCCTTTAGTCTGTAGGACTCTCATAATCTCTAATTGATATTAAAGGTTTATTTTACTGTCTCATTAAAATAAATGGTCACAACACCAGGCTGTGTATGCTCTAGAAATGTCTCCTCTACATGTCTATTAGCCATGAACTTAAAGGTTCACTATGTAACTTTTCTAAAGTTCACCACCTTCTGTGGAGATAGTCATGTTTTGTTTGGAATGTTGCACAGTATGGCAAGTCGCGCGCGGCAAGTCCCGCGCTAGTGCCTTTCTGTGTGGACTCCCTGTGGTTGCTCTGGTTTCCCCCACCACTAATAATATATAGTATAGGGTCCCCTCTGGACAAAAATGAAGGTTTGTGGAACTGTGAGACATGGTTAAAGCTGGAGTTAATTACTTGCAATGTATTAATTTATCGTTTATCTCTTTCTACATTTATTTTACTTCTCTGTGCCTAGTGAGTTTGGCTAAAGTTATAAATTTTGCACTGGAAAGATCATATTTTAGCTCATTTTTGCCATCTAAGTCTGAGACTGCCTTTTCTCTCGTCTATCCTTTGCTGTGGTGCGCAACTTCTCCTTAGCCAAAGCAGTCCTTACTACAACCTCACATGGGCCACTTCAGATCATACTATTTTGTCTGTACTTCATTGAGATCATTTCGACCTGTGCAGCTCAAGCCTCTTGTGTGGATTTTATCAGATATGCTCTAATCTTCTGGAAATGTGACCACACATGGTGAGGTTTTGTCTGTAAATGCAGAGTCGTTCTCCTGATTCATCAGAGTTTACCCTCAAGAAAACTGGAATCTGTGAGGAATTCAGCAGAAGTGAGAAAATTATTGGAAAAAACTGTTCGGACTGCTTCACTGTTTTTACATGGAAGGCTGATCCAACAGGAAATTATGAAACAATAACAATGTGTCAATTAGCCTCTAGCTTGGCTCAGGCAGGTTGACAGATCATAAATTAATATTGGCTGCTTTATACCATCTCACATCAGACTATGAAAAATATAACACCAAACTAAAACAAAACAAAAAAAAAACAAAAAAACAAAAAACAAACACTGATTGTAGTACCTAGACATTAAGAGCACAGGCTATATACAGTTCCTTTTTAAATCACCAGTTAAGCATTGTGACCATGGCAGTGTTGGTAATTATACTAGTGATGTGAATTAGTCAAAGTGTAGTATTAAGTGGTGAAGTAGTAGTAAGTGTTGCTGTAGGCTAATGTAGCAGTAGCTATTTATTTTAGTTAACTGACAAAATATCAAAACACTACAGCCAATTGGGATTTTTGGTTTTTGAGTGTGAAATCTTGGTCTTAAAAATGTTCATTTCAAGCCAGATTTCCGCCCCACAATATTTGAGTGATCAATATTGTCCCATAATTTAACCATTTGAGCACCTTTGTGGCAAAGCAAGCACCAAAATTATAAACTGGCTTATGTCTTTTGTTTATTCCACTATTTTCACTATTCATTCATACCATGGTACAATATTTAGATTTCCTGCGATTGACCTGTTCCAATACGTAATTTTGACCTGATGATCATTTCTTCCTCTTCTGCGGGACAGCCCTTAGGAAAGCATGGGGCTGCTCCTGGTTTTGGCTCAGTCGCTTGCACTCACACAAATATATTAGCTCACTCAGTTTTCTCCTGCTGCAGTGGAACATCTAGTTATGTCATAAAGTAACCAGTCACCTTAGTTTGTGTATCAGAATTTTAGTATCAGCTTGTGGTTGTGATCTCAGAAATGTTATTATTGTAGTTGTGTTTGCGTTGCCTGTTGCCTGTTGCCAGTTGGGTCCAGTGGTTCTGTTAACTTTCAATAAAATCAAACTAAAGTGATTTTAAAGCAAAATGTTGTAACATGAAAGTAACTATGTTTGAGCAAATATATGTGTGTGTATATACACACGTACGTATCTTGATGTGTATCTTTGACACAAGTAATTACCCGTTAGTGACCGCCTAGAGATTGGTGTGTGTGTGAATGCTTTGGTAGAAGGACTGGACTGTCATGAGGATTTTGTTTATAATGTATTATCCAGACCCACTGTGTCATAATTGTCTTTTCATATTCAGCTGAGGTGCCCTTCTTGTGGAAATTCAACTTCCATCATTTTTTGCCAAGAACAGCCACTGCACGGTTCTCTGTAACCACAGACAGCTTTCCCTGTACTCGCACTGATGAGGTCATGTTAAAACCATTGAGGGAAAACTCTTCCCCAAATATGAGCTTACGAGCGTTTGGGTGGCAGAGGATATCCACTGTAGTATGGTTTGCAGTGATGTGTGTGGTTTAGCAGTTTACACTGTGATCTCATCAGCAACGGAGTATAGTGATATTTCTCAAATCTGTCCTATGACTCAGTGCTAGGACTATACGGTTTTGTACAATTTCATTATTACATATTTTTTACTTTTAAATTCTATCCGTATTATTGTGAGATGGGGTCAGTGCTTTCAATCCTTTATAAAAGACTAAAAAAAGACTTGACAAAAAAAAAAAAAGTTTTTTCTGGCAAGTAATGTGACTCTATTAGATCTGCAATTCATCTTTTAGGATTCTGTTCATGGAGTGCACGTTGTAAAGACTTAGACTTGGACAAACTTTATTGATCCACAAGAGAAATTATTTAGACACAGTAGCTCTAACATCACAATATATTATAATAACAAAGACCAAAAATATAAGTGGTAATAATAGAGCAAAATAAGTAGCAAACATAGCAAGAGACTGGTGTCAAATAAGGCATAATTATATAAATGTATATGTATAAGTACAAAAAAATTATAGTAATATAGTAATACAAATATATGTCAACTATATACAAGATTGTAAGTAGAAACGATGCAAAGATGAAATAGTGATTGACTTAGGGTTATCTGTTATTTAAGGCATTATATGCATGTGCATTATATTTTGAGAGAAGACTGACATATGAACTGGTAGACAGGATAGTTAACTCTGTGCAGAGGAAACGATGTTTAAATAACTGCAGCTTTTGCAATTTGCAAACTGTGGCAACTCAAATTTCAAATAGATTTGAGATATATTGTGTAGCCCTACTTAGAAAGTTTGATTTCATGCAGTGTACATACAGTGTTTATTATTAGTATGTTCACTTCTAAAAAGACTTTCAATCAATCCAAGTACAACAACTCACCCTTAAGTAAAAGATGGCCTTCTGTCATGTTAATAATTATTTTGACTTTGTACTGTTTACCCACCTCTTGTATATAGCTGAAATATATTTGTATTACTCTATTTCTATATTTTATTTTTACTTGTGTATATATATGTATATAATTATTCCTTATTTGACACCAGCCTGACTCTTTTTTATTCAGTATTACCATTTATAATTTGCTCTTTATTATAATATACTGTGATATGTGAGCTACTGTGTCTAATTTCCCATTTGGAGCAATAAAGTTTGTCTAAGTCTAAGTTTGGGTCTGGTACATATTTGTTAACAACAACAAAATCCAAAGCACTTTTCAAATAAGTCCATTTTAAAGGTTGGTCGCTCAGTTCATTGTAGCCTGTTACCTCTTTGCTAAAGATGACATGATTTGTAAGTCAAACACTGTATGTGGTCGGAGTAGTTAGAGAGGTCATCCGTGTAAAGGTGAGGGCAGTTTCACAAGTGCAGAAGGAATGATAGTAGGGCATACTGTGACCACCTTTGACCCCCATCTCCTCAATAACCTTTTCATGTAACGTCTTCAGTGAATCTTCTCTATGTAATAACTTCTTAGACTTTTGGAGATGGATCTGTTCAGGTTAAGAAAATTTTGAACATCTATTCTTGTCAACAGTTCAAAAGCATTGCTGATTTGCCATAGTGGATTTTTGAAACTGTCTACTGTTTTTTGGCAATGTGATTACATGTGGTAGTCTAATCCATGCAAGGTTTAAAGTAGAAAGAAGAGTAGAACAGTAGACAGTGTACTTGATGAAAATTAATTAAATATAAAGGATGTTGTGATTAAGCAATGGACTATGAAAACTTGCATGCTAGTATTTGTGAGAGTATTGGTCGGCAATATGAATATTAAACATGTCATGTCATATGGTCCACCCATACGTGAAAATTTGCATTTAAATTTCCTTTTTATTGAATTAATATAACTGAGGATGCACCGATCCAGTTTTTTTTTCTTTATTGATGCTTAGGCTTTTGGTATGTGTAGCTACCCGATATCAATTGATACTAGCATAAGGACTGAAAAAGGCATTTTATTTCCATTAAGACACAGTTAACTTACTACAAAATTGATCCAATTGCTTTTTATCCTACAAGCAAGTATAGAACCAGTGTGTATGAATTAAAGTTCAAACATTATGAGACATTCTGTGCCAATATTTGCAGGTCAATTTGCTGGTTATTACATCCAATTAAAGGCCTGACCAGGATATCGGCTGAACCGTTATCATGGAACCGATACCCATTCCAGCATCTGCACTAATTTTCAATACTAGTATCAGTGCTGGTGCATCCCTAAATATAACCATGAATTTTCTCCGTCAGGGCACATAACCTGGTCTTAAAGCCCAAATATGCTGGCATAAGTTCTCTCAACCCTCAAAAGTCTTGTATCACACAAAACTGACTCTTTAAGCTTTAAGCCATACTGTTATTCCTCAAAAACATAGCTGGAGTTGTTTTGTTGTGTTTTCATTGTTAGTCTGTTTACATCTTCAACGCTCACAATGCTCTGTTCCACCTTGTGATGTCATGTAGTAGTACTTTTCAAGTTAACAGCTAACTTTTACCTTTAGTTCAGTGAAGACTGGCAATTCCAGGGCTGAAATTATCCAAATGATTCTAGTGAAGGTATATGGAATTTAAAAACACAGTGGCACCCTTCCTGTATTACCACATAACAGCAGTGTTTTCTCTTTGAGAGAAGAGCTGATCCTAAATATGCAGGGTTTGTATGTTAAACATGTGGAAATGAACATATAACATAGATTTTTTTTTTTTTAACGGGCATAATACGGGCTCTTTAAAGATAGGACTGGCCAACATAACAATCTGTTTAGATTCTTAATTTCATTTTGTTCTGTTAATTTAAATTTAAATTTTGCTGAACATAAACAATATGCAGACTTTAGTCATCACCTTTAACACAAAAATAGTCAAAATTCTTCCAAAGTCTGAACTCTGCTTCAAACCACAAGCTTTTACTGGTGGAGGGTTGGCTTTAGGTCTCTCTATTAAAACAAAAAACAAAAAAACAAACAAACTCTCGATTAAAAAAAAAAAAACAAGCATGTCATTGAGAAACAGAAATGTCAAAATCTCTGTCTCCATTAAAATATTATTAATTGCATAGCCCTTTCTAAACTGAATAAGATTACAATGATTATAAGATTGGTCTTCGCTTTGCACTGTTTCAATTTAGACTCTAACCATTGCGCTTTTTGCTCCTTTCAGAATAGTTCGTGATTATTTGAGTGGAGCTCCATTTTCCTCTTACCAGGAGTCCATGTACTTCTCTCGCTTCCTGCAGTGGAAATGGTTGGAAAGGTGAGCATACATTATACACTTGATACAGTAACCACCCGTTTTGGTTGTGGATTCAATTATTATTATTATTATTATTTTTATTTTATTTTATTTTTTTTGTCTGTCTTTACTATCATTATCAATTTTATGGTGACTTGTTTACTGATTTTAGATTACAATTGCAGGCTTACTCTGACCAAAAACACATTATGTATGTTCTATTTCTGTTTATTATTTTCAAATTTAGCCGCTAGCAGGTCATATAAATAATATATACTAACGTTATTGTTTATTTCTTCTTGTTACACTTTGGTATATAAATTAGACTGCACAAAAATGCTGTCCTCAGTGTTGTGGGTCAGGCTCATATAAACAAGGAATTTCTTACAAGTTATTCATTAAAGGTGGCTGATGCTGACAAATTTGCATTATCCTAAAGACAATAATCCGACTATATTTTTCACAAGCCATCAAAAATTTTGAAACCTGCCTGTAAATGTCATGGTTCTGGTATAACAAAAATAATTAATTGACCATAAAAGGACACAAATAAATAGAAATATTTCTGTATGCCCTTTTTTTTTTTTTCATCAGATTTGTAAGTTCATTATTGTATTGTTTATTTCTGTACTATCCAATTCTTGTTTAAGTTTTCGCCTCTACTTTGTATACATTTAGTCACTTTTTAATTTTGACCTAAAAATCAACAGTAGTTCTTCCATTCAGTGATTCTATTATTGTTTAATAATAGATGGGTCTTTGCCTAATGGGCTGCTGGTGACTGTAGCAGGCTGAAAATGATCGTCATCAGTGTGGATTAATAATGTATAAGGGCATTAGTCTGTCTGCAGCGTCACACTCAGAGCATGACATAATCTAATCACTTATTTCTTTTTTTTTCTCTTTCTGTTCCTCTACTTTTCTCCCACAGGCAACCAGTAACCAAAAATACCTTCAGACATTATAGAGTACTAGGAAAAGGTGGCTTTGGTGAGGTGAGTGATGTTTCAATCCACACATGAAATTGAAATAACCGCGATGATTAACCGTAGCTTTTAATGTTTTATGGGCAGCACTGAGCTAACGTTATGCTTGGACTGTTGATGTTTGTGCGGACGATTGAAGTTGGTACAAGTGACGTTTAACAGTTAGTTAACAGCCAGTTAGTGACAGTTGAAGAGGTTTGCGGTTGCCATGGTCCTTTGCATTAGTTTGACTCTGGGTTTTATGGTGTTTTTCATTTTGGATGTGTGTGTTTGATCGTGTTTCCTTGCTGCCTGTTTTCCAGGTTTGTGCCTGCCAAGTGCGTGCCACTGGTAAGATGTATGCTTGCAAAAAGCTGGAGAAGAAACGAGTGAAGAAAAGAAAAGGGGAAGCAATGGCATTAAATGAAAAACGCATTTTAGAAAAAGTCAACAGTAGTTTTGTAGTAAGTACTAATATTTTCTATTTTGTAATTATCAATACTGTTTACAGTTTCATTGTCTCTACACCTCACACAGATCAGATCTTCATTGAAATCAGAAAACAAGGACTCTTAACAAAAACAAATAAAAAAGGCTTTCAATGTTACTTTTCTGAACAAGCAAACTTAATAATTGCCATTTTAGACAAACACTAGTCAGAGTATGAACTCTGCTCCAAACCACAGCTTTTACTTTTTGCTGACAGAGGTTTGGTTGTGGACTGGGGCTGCACGATATGAGAATAAAGTTATAATATTCGATAAAGCCTACTTTTTAGCACAATGAGATCAGTTAAAGTAAAACAAAACATGTGCATGCCCTCATTTACAAGTAAAAATGTGACAAAATAAAAACTAAGTCAAGTAAGGAAAATCATGAATAAATTATTTTTTATTTACTTGGGATATTGATTAATTTGCCAACTAATGCTATTTTACACTCTATTGTGCAGCCAGGTTCTAGGCCTCTCTTTAAAAAGACCCAAGTTGATCATAGACGATTCTAAATGACTGGATCTCGATTAAAATAAAAAATAAATTGCATGCCCATATTTTATTTAGTTTCTTTTATTCTGGGACCAAAGAACCTCTATATTGTCTCATCTACTTTGAGCTCCTGTCTGCATCTTAGTGCCTTATCCTCAGTGCTACCATCTTCATACTGTACCACATACACACGTCTAATGATGTGTAGAAAGCTGCAGAACAGTTCTATGCCATGGCAAACACTGTGAAGTCCTCATTGCGTCTGTCTCAGGTGCAGGAAAAGAAAACTTAGTTTTGGCCGACTGTTGTTTTTCTTTAGAGAAATGTTGATCTAGGGATAACTGCTAATTGAGTGATGTTGGAGGCAAAAGCTGTTTAATTTCTCCTATATTTGCTGTGTGTATGTTATGTGAAGTAGATTTGTGGGCATTTGTATATTTAGCAGCTAATTTAACTGCAGCTCTGGCATATTCACTGAAGCGCACACATTAACAAATTACAGTATTATTGAACATTATATTCTCATATAAAATTCAGTATGGGTTATATGGCAGAGCTTTCATTTTACAATTTGTCTGCAACTAAAGATTATTTTAGTAGTCGACTTTCAATTAGTTTTTTCTATCATATTTAGAATATTTTATACATTTTAGTTAGTTTAAGCTTAAAATAATGCTATATGCTAAACAGAGGCTTCCTGATGTAGAATATACATGGTTAAGGTACAGTTTATGTATATGTGTATGTTATCTATGCAATATGATTCTGGTTTTATGCCAGATCCTTTGCACTTGTGTTTGTTTAATGTAAAATATTTATAATATTTATTCTTATGTATGTCCTTTGGATTAGTCCTTGTTTAAATGCTTGAGTCCAAGTTTAGACCTCTCCTGCTACAGATCTGATGGTAGTCAGAGAGCAGAATATGGGATCTTTGTGTGAAAAGTTTAGAACCACTGTATGTAGCTGATCGCAAAGAAAAGTAATATGAACAACTGCAAATGCCAAAAATACCTTCCTCCAAAGTTAATTCAACATAAAAAATGCATGAACAATACAGACAAATCATTGCCGTTCAATACAAAAAAAGTCGAATAGTTCATTAAAATAAAAAAGAAATAGTGTTTATCATTGACAACTAAACATGACTGAATCTTGATCTCAATTAAAATGTGACAGTTTTGCCTAGCCTACTTTCACATCTTGTTTTATTGTGATACTGTGTGCCGTTTTGTCCTTGTTTTGCATGTATTGTTAGGTAAATATATAGAGGCATTTGACACACTGTGATACAGCAAGTTTTCCCCCCTCCTCTCTCTTGTCACCTGGGACTGGCACATTCTTTTGTGTTGTCCGTGTGTGTGTATTATTGTGTATTTGTCTGTGTGTGTGTGTGTTTGCGAGAGAGAGCTGGAGGCAGAATGGATGACTCTTCAGCCTCCTCTCTACTTCCGTCTCCGTGGTAACGCTGACCAAACAGCAGCAGCAGGAGAAGAGTCAAGAGCTCTCTCAAACCCTCATCTCTCTATGTTCATACATAGGCTACTGTTAGTCAGGTTAGTTAATGTTGTTTCAGTAATACAAGGCTGAACAGGGCCTGTAGAACACAGCATATTTTAGGCAGGGCTGTGCAATTAATCTCATTTTAATTGAGACAGAGATTCAGGCATTTCAGTGATCACTTTGGGTCTTTTTAATAGAGAGATCTACAGCCAATCCTTTGAGAGTAAAGTTCAATCTTTAAGAAGAAGAAATTTGAGGAGAAAAAACATTACTAAAAGCATGTCCTGTTTATTTTCAGGATATTAATATTGAAAGGATTTTTTAAAAATAACAAAATAATATAACAAAAAAATGTGTAGCATTGTGTAATTGTGTATTTAAAAAAAAGTATAAAATGTTATTTATTATTTTGTCATATCACCCAGACCTAGTTTGGATAAGCATTTGTATAAAAAAAAAACCAAAAAACAACTATATTAAATATTGATACTGAACAAATTGCATAATAACCTTTCCTGAATACACATTGGAATACACATTCTGATTCTCCCTGTAAACCCTGAATCAATTTACCAATACAGGTTTATACTGTATTCCTTACCTGTCCACACAGTGTCAATGTCTTCCCTTTGTCCTAACAGTTGCACAATTCAACAAACATAACTTAGTACTCAATAATCATAATTATCATCATTAATACAATCATTATGTATGTTACTGCAGCATATTTTATAGGTATTCTTATTGTTGTAATGGCGTGCATACATGACCTTTCAGATATATGGCTTGTGTGTGTGTGTTTGTGTGTACATTCGAATGTTTACATACACACAGAACTGGGTCTGCTGTTCTCTGGGGCCCGAGTATTTTCCCATCTCTCCTCTAGTGGTGGGTCGTGACTTGACAGTTGTGAGCAGATGGGACAGATTCTAATGTCAGCCACATCCTGCTTATCCTCAACCACAGTGCACCCGTCAAGTCACTGACCCCTAAGGAGCCCGATAGCGGCCAGTACGAATGGAGAAATATGCAGGGTTACACACTACTTTGGTACCACTTTAGTTGACTACTGCCCAGTAGTTATTATAAAGAATTTCTTGGTTGACAAAAGACAGGACCTGTGCATCGATGAATTGACAAGGGCGTGGTGTTTTTCTTTGGCAGAAGCTCTGAAAATTGTTCGAATCTTGCGCAACAACAACTATACATGCAGAGAAGTACTAGTAAACAGCACCATCATAAGAGGAAAATGCAGATTATACTGTACAGTCACTGATGTCATCAATGTAATGTGAAGTTATTACGCTGATCTATGTTATATTGTTTGTTTCCTTATCAAAAACATAGCTGAAGTTGTGTTTTGTTTCATTCACACGTTTAGCACACAAATTTAGACTGAATTCTTCTCTCAAGCAGAACACTGTTGTGATGTAATGTGCTAATACAGGAAGCGCTCCACTGTGTTATTAAGCTCCATACACTTTCACTAGAATTATTTGGATGATTTGAACCCTAGAATTGCTCATCTCTACTGAACAAAAGGTAAAAGATAGCTCTTAACCTGAAAACTACCATTTCATGATATCATAAGGTGGAAAAGAGCATTTTGAGCTTTGGAGATGTAGACAATGTAGACTAATAATAAAGGGTTACTCAAACATGTGTGAATGAGACAAATCACAATTTTAGGTATGTTTTTGATTAGGTAACAACATTGTATATCATTTAAAGCGCATAAGGGTCCATTGCCTAGTCTTTGTAAAGATGTAAATGTTTTTTTTTTTAGTTTTGATTCCCGTCATCTCACACAAATTAAAACTTTAATTTGTTAAAATGCTACATTACCTGCATTGTACCAGCCTGTGTCTTGGTGGATGTAGCAGTTAATAATTTTCTTGAAATTACTTATTTTCTAAACATTTTTTTTTCTATTTGTCATTTCTAGGTTAGTCTAGCCTATGCCTATGAGACCAAGGATGCGCTGTGCCTGGTGTTAACCATAATGAATGGTGGTGACCTGAAGTTTCACATCTATAACATGGGGAACTCTGGTTTTGATGAGCAGCGGGCCATTTTCTATGCCGCTGAGATCTGCTGTGGCCTCGAGGACCTGCACCGTGAGCGGATAGTTTACAGGTGAGGCCACGAGAGGTCCTGCCAGAAACATGTGTCTGTGATTAAGATGGGTACTGTCGTGAAACAGGTCTTTTTAAATTGAAGTTATGGTTTCACAAAAATGCATTTAGTTATTGTAAATATTAATATTTGGTTACTTGCACATTTTTCTTAATGTTGCGTTATATTTTCTGGTGAGTGATCTGCCCTCTTCTTGTCTCCATGGCGATGCTGTTGCTTTGTTTGACTTGTTCTGCAGTATGGTTTTTAACTCACTTAATTCAATTACACGTGCTTTTATTGCCAAGAATATCATGAAGAACACAGAGGAGAGTTTACCTGCTTCTCTATTGATCTTTGACCTGTAATGTAGTTTATTGACACTTGTTGGTAGATTTTTAAATAAAATAGTGAGTATTTTGATAGATTTAATAGTATAACTCTGCCATGATGTTTAGGTGCATTCTAATTGCCAAACCTGATATACATGAAAATAATTAAACTGAAAATTTTACCTTGTTTTCCTTATATTTTTAGATCTATATTGCACAAATCCTGTTCATATGACTAGAGTGTAGCCTTAAAAGTTGTCCATTGTTCCCGTTCTGCATTTCAGTACAAAACATCCTTCTAAACTTAACCAAACTTGAGTTAAGTAGTTTGTTTGAGAGATAAGTCCAAGTGCTGATGTGTGACTGCATTCATCTCTAAATGCACCTGTCACCATCAGTCAATGCTTTAGGGAATGTCAACATGAAGAAGGATATTCTTACAAGACATATTCAAACATAAGACATACCTCTCAATGACTGCTATTGTTAAGGCCACTGTTGATTCTCATGATTATCTTGACGTGCAGTTGTGTGAGAAGTTTTTTAGGCTAAGAAAAAGGTGTTGCCATGAAAAATACACACTGACACACGCAAATACCAATTTTGAAAAGACCAATATGCATAATTTGCCATTGAGTGCTGTTGGGGAACTGCAAGCAGACAGTTGCAATTGTGATTAGATTTGTGATTTATGTTTAATAATAATAGGATTCTCTTCAAAGTTCAAGTTTTGCGTTAAAGAAAATTGACTAAAAGACAGTTATGAACTGACTAGTGCAAGAATCCCATGTTTGTGCAAATCTAAACTACAGCTACGTTTTTATGTTAAATAAGATAGGATATTGTGTATTCAGTTTGTAAAAGAACTAAAAAAATAATAATAATTAAATTGCGATTAATCTTGCAGCTGTATTGATAATTTAGAGATCTCTTTCAGGGCTGGTTTTAGCCATAGCATCTGGTAATTAAGTTTGTGGTTATTGTCCTTTGACATGAAAACGGCAATTGTAAATGATTAAACATAATATTATTTAAACTGATTCACATCTTTTCTGGGAAGGCAGGCAAATGTTTATGAATTATATAAAAAACACCATCACTTATAAGGTGTCTGATGACCCTGTTTAAGAATCTGATTTTTTAAAAAAAAATTGTTCTTACAAAGTCAGAGTTTGCAATTAGTTAGTGTAGTTGGTCTCAAAATGCCACAGTAGGACTTGAAGAATTACGACTTGTGCCAAAATAAACATTTGTGATGGGCACAGTTCCTATTTTGACAATTTCAGAAATAAATTATTAGACAAACTGAATAAGTTGTTTTACCCCCTTTATTACACTGTACATTGAAAGCATAGTTTGTATCAGATTGAATTCACTTGTCTTTGCCCTTTTAACCTTGCGAAAACCAATAACGTAGCCCAGTTTAGCATTTGATAACAAATTAAGCAAACAAAGATGTGTACAGATAAGCTTACCGCTAAGCCACATTAAAGCCCAACATGGTATGACTCAGGCAGGCAATAAAGGATGACTAGAAAAGTAAATAAAATGACAAGTTAATAAAGAGTCCCAATATTTGTCTGGGATTTTATTATAATGTCCTATCTCTTTTTATGGGCAAAAGATCAGCCAGTCACTAATATGTTTGTGTGTGTTGTTTTTCAATTGTAGGGACTTGAAACCAGAGAACATCCTTCTTGATGATCGTGGTAAGTTAATTTTTATAGTGTATAAATGTATAATAATCTAAAATCTGGAGGCAGGTTAGTGTTTTTACATTTTCAAACATGATATATCTGTTGGCAAATTAATGGCTTTTGCCTCTAGTTGTGAATGAACATGAAAGGTCACTTTCCAGAGTGTGTCCTGACTCATTCTAGGAATGCACTAATGCTGGATTAATTATTGGTACTTGCAGGATGAAAAACAGTTTCATAACTTATTTCGATCAGTTTTGTTACAAGTTCTATTGATGATCTCTGCACTAGTGTTTGTTGATATTGGGTACACTTAGTCAATGTAGCGATATTGGTATCTGGATTGAAACGACTGCATCAGTGTATCTCTTTGATTACAAAATAAGGAGCCATGAGATCTTTTTTTTTTTTTTTTTACATATGAGCAACTATAGAAGAACTAAATTAAACAAAAGGCTCTGTATAACTGAAAGGAACGTGAGTGTTCTGGGTAGACACAATCAAAACAAAACAAAAAAAAATTTCTCAAGTAAGAAGGTTGTGGGTTTAATCCTTGTTTAGTCAAAGTTTAAACAAAACATGAACATGCTTTTTCTGCAAATCCTTAGAGAAACACTGGTTTCATTGTTAAGACAATTCAAAGTAAATACATGGAGAAATACCACAACCATAAAACCAACCTGGAATAGAAATCATGTTCATTTTTGAATCTTTATTTATCAGGTCATATTCGTATCTCTGACTTGGGGCTCGCAGTTCAAATCCCAGAAGGGGAGACGATACGAGGGAGAGTTGGCACTGTTGGATACATGGGTGAGCTTTTGTCTGCACCAGGATATATACAATACAGAAATGCCGAACCTTTTTATTTTTTATTAATTACTTAATTAATTATTTATGCAACCACTTTACAAGATTAGAATATTATAGCATACTTTGTTTTGTGAAATCTAATACTATGGCAGTACATTGAATTTTTTCCTGTGGTCATCAGCTCCAGAGGTGATCCAAAATGAGAGCTACACCTTCAGTCCGGACTGGTGGGGCCTGGGATGTTTGATCTTTGAGATGATCCAGGGCCAGTCGCCATTCCGAAAGCGCAAAGAACGTGTCAAAAGGGAAGAAGTGGATAGACGAGTGCGCGAAGACCAGGAGGAATATTCCGATAAGTTTTCTGAAGATGCAAAGGACATCTGCAGACAGGTAGGAAAGGGGTGGCAATACAATACAACAACTACTATGACATTTACTAACTAATCAAAATGCATTAAATAATAAACAGAGTCATGTGGCAGTGTAAACAAAGCATTTGTTTGCTTTAAGGACATCTGAAATTCATCCAACCAATATAAATTCCAAATGGACATTCAGGGTTCATTGATAAATGATATTTGAGAGAAAAAATAAAAACATAAACAGTTTTAGAAAAGTGTACACATTAGCCATTTCCATTCCCCCAAAAATAAGAAAACCTATTATTTAAAAAAAAAAATGTGTTGAAGGCCATCCATGTGTTTTAGAATATCTGACCTTAAACAGTGCTTTGGGATAAGAGCCAACACATACAGAGCTGCAATCTTAACGGCCAAGATTCTGTTGCAATTTTATTTATATCACCGCATGTACTACTTGATTATTCTTGACAAAGATTTGTCTTGTTAATGACTTCTATAGGCGACAGCAGTACTTTTCTGAACCACAGTAAAAAGTATAAAAATTAAAGAGTAAAATGAGGACTAACCCATGCTGAATCCAGGTCAAGGCAAAAAAAAAAAAAAAAAACTGATGCAGAGAGCTTAGTCCACATTAGCCTTTCTGAGGAGGTTTCCCACTTTTGTGGACATGCTCCACAACTAAAACGGACTTGTAATTGGGGAAATGAAAACTGGTCAAAAGCAAAGCTAAACCAGGAGTACAGTAATGTTATGCCATTCTAAGGTCTATGGTTTCACATTACCACATCAAGCTCTGATTAAACAACATCAGCACATAAATGACTCCTGCTTTTTCCTCCTCAATTCTTTTAGATTTTTCTTCTCCTTATACAACACTTGCCCAATTTACACCTGTGTTCAAAGCACTCTCACACTCTGCTCCTGACAGCTAAGATCACTTGTCTATTTTTGGACATTGGTAATGGCCGGGTCTTTTGTGGCTCATGAACACACCCCAAAATTCTCAGTCTTTTAACATCTCCCCCTCTTGTTTCTTGGTGAAACCTGTCTTCTTCCCAGCCCACTCTTCCTCTCTCCAGGGAGGCTTTGAGTTGGACGAACCCTGGGTCAGAATGTTCCACCGCGTCACACAAATAAATGTCCCCTCCCTTTCTCGGCTTATACACACAGCAGCGTAACTCAAATTAGGGACAGGAATAGTTCAAATTATTTGGTACATAATAAAACTGCCAAAGAGCTGTGTTTCTCAGACTGGTACTGTGGCCTCTTGTGGAAAAAAAAAATCACAAATATTTTCATAGTATTGGACCAAGAAAAAGTGTCAAATTTTAAACAGTGTTGCAAAAATATCCCCCTGGTTTCAGTCTAGAACATGCTATATCTTAAAGTAAGTGATCTTCTTTCTTTTTGTAGTATAAACATTGGTTAGAGAGATGAGTTCTATTACTGCTATATCCCATACTTAGACCTAGTTAAACATCCATCAACATGTAGTCTGTTTTAGGTGAAGAAGTAATGTTATAACATTAAGACAGCAGCTTTTCATAATCACAGTACATCAGATTTGATTGTGAAGTTGATTTCATTATCCAAAATGTTTCCCTCTTCTCCTCCTCCTCCTCCTCTCTCTGCCGCTGTGATCGTCAGCTCTTGGCTAAAGACCCCAAGGAGCGGCTCGGTTGTCAGGGTCAAGGGGCCTCAGAGGTGAAGCAGCACCCCATCTTCAGGAACATCAACTTCAAACGACTGGAGGCCAACATGCTGGACCCTCCCTTCATTCCAGATGTAAGACACACACATAAACACACACCATACACACTGCACATTCGGCTGTAGCATGAAACCAGGGGGAGCGGCAAATTAGTGCACAGGAAATACCATTGTCGGATATAAACAAACTTTTCCAGTATAAATGTGCTATCGTGGCTACAAGAGCATGAGCAGAAATATGTGAGAATGTCTCCTAGAAATTCACTGGAAAAAATGACTTCTATTTATCAGATTGCATGTCAAAAATGCACATGACTAAAAGCATTAATGTGTTTCTACTTTCAACTTCAGCTTGTCTGTCTAATGAAAAAAAAAATCCTAGAAATCTGTACAGTCTAATCATTCTTTGTCCAGGGCACTTTAGGGCATGTCATTGCATTTTCCCTAGTATAAACAGAGAAGGAAAGTGACCCATTAGTGGGGTTAACTTTGTTGTTGAACTTAGATAGTGTTATCTGCCTCTCTATTTTGGCTAAAGCAGGTCAGTGGAGTTTCAAAACAATAACATTAAAACATGTGAATTTCATCTTGTTGAGCTTTTATCTATGATGCTTTTTCCTCAGCCGCGAGCCGTTTATTGTAAAGATGTCCTGGACATTGAACAGTTTTCTACTGTTAAAGGTGTGAACCTTGACCCCACTGACGACGATTTTTATCACAAGTTTGTCACAGGCAGTGTCTCCATCCCCTGGCAAAATGAGGTACTGCACCCTCAAATTACGTCATACATTACTACGCCTTCAAAAGACCACATGTCTAATACACTGTAAAACATTTAACTCCTGTCTGTTTAGATGATAGAGATGGAGTGCTTCAAAGAAATTAATGTTTATGAAACTGATGGGGTGCTGTGCGCGGATTTGGATGTGAACAGACCCAACCCTCCACCAAAGAGAGGCTTCTTCTATCGCCTGTTCAGAAGAGAGGCAAGTGCTAGTGCTCCAGCTACTGTGCGAGGGGGTGGGGGCTAAGGTACCTTTCTCTCTTCTTCTTCACTTTACCACTGTCCAGGCCTAGTTCAAAGGTATGCAGTCAACTACAAAATAGTGTTTGCTTTTTTTGTCTGTTTAACTATAATTTTCAAAAAAAGACCTTGCTGCTTTCGGCATTGGCTCTGTGGGGTATCATGCTGGTTTGTGGTATGCAATAATCCACTTCATCTTTGCTACTAATGCTCAACTAATATCAGAGTTGCTAATCGTCTTTTACTTTGCCTTTGGTACAAATATTCTTTTGGCTCCTTTTTTCCTTTCAAATTCTATGGCTGCCTTAAACAAAGTGATGGTACTAATGGCTTGTTTGAGTGATGTGTGTTGCTGTTGTCCCCAGGTCTGTTTTAAAGGGGGCTATAGTGAAGATGAGACCGAGGAGCCCTCACGACTCTAAACCACTCCTTCCACTTGCCTCATCCCCTTCACGCCGCTGAACATCACATCAAACTCCAACCGAGCGCAGATTTAGGAACTCAGTGAATGTTGACCTGTATTTATGAGCTGTATTAAAAGTGTATTATAATTAAAGAAAAAAGTATGAGTTTAAAGATTTTGTACATTTGTACTTGAATTTATGTCTAGATGTATATTTTCACTAAAGGTTGTATTGTACAAAAAGCCATAAAAGTACCACTTGAATGCATACATTTTATTTTTTCCTTTTTATTTTTATTGGAACGAGTATGGACAATATGTATTGGGATTTTTTAAGCACAGTACTAGTAGTCATTTTATTTTCCCAATGTAGCATACAGCTTTTTTTGTATGCGCTTTTTGTCTCATTAATTTGCATTGGGCTGTGTAATTTGTTTTTGGAAAATTTGATACACAAAGTCCTATTTTTATCCCCTTATAGGCTCAGGTAGTGTTAAATGAAGCTTGTAGACCCAGGTGAAAAGGGATCAAATGTGTAAATTCTTTAAAAACAGAATATATGAATCCAGTGATGGTTTCAATAATGAGGCTTATTGTAAATCTATTTAGATTGTGATGCTCTCCACAAAGGCAGACTGTAGATGTGTGAACACTGATCTCTTGACCTCTAGCTTAGGCAAAACTTTTCCTGTGTCACAATAATGATAATTATTTGGATTTTGGGAACCAATGATTGTTGCATGGTATTTCAGACCTATTGCAAGTAAAGGTGTTTCAATCTGCCCATTTTTTTTTCCAACAAATGAATCTGCTCACAGCCTGATTTAAATGGTTTGATATATATCCCCTTATGCCGCTAGTTGATATTAAGTTTTTACCTGTGGCTTTAACTATGTTTATTTTAAATAGTTATTTTCACGTAATCGCACCATTGATCCTAAACCTTGTTCTCTATAGGACTGACTTGAGGCTTAGGTAAAGTGTAGAATGGGAGTAGATTTAACATCTGTGTACAGGAAAACTCAACCACTTCAAATCCCTATATTTTGTGCACTTTTCTTTTGTTTTGGTTTTTTTAACATGGAAATGGATTTTCATGTATTTTTTATTAGTCAGTTCCCAAATTTCAAGATTTATTTTAATTATTTGACTTTTGACACAGGCATTTATGCTTTAAATCATGCTTAAAGGCAGTCACTGTTTACGCCACACCAATACTGTGAATACCCGATTTGGATACATTTGCTTTGTGTATGTATAGATGAATTGTATAAAATGCAGCTTTTGTTAAGTCCAGTGCATTGAATTATTTTAATGTGCTATCTGAATGAAAATTAACCAGATAGAGTCTTTGATTGTACAGATGCGCATCGTCTGCATTTTGTTGTCAATATGATAAAGGAATTTAACTGAGCAGAAATTTATACAAGCTATTTATAACGATGCATTCATTGAGGTACGGTGTTAGTTGCCCATTGAGTACAGATTTTCGATCTAGATTTTTGTCCCATTTTACACATTCCACTGGCATAACTGGGGCTCTTAACTATCTACATTAAGCAGTCACCATCCTGTCATTAATATGTTTTGGGTGATTGGTTATGTGTTGTCACGCTCAGGCACATTTTACGCTTTTTTCTTGACAATGTAGATTTAGTGCATTAGCTCTTAGCCTCAAAACCTTGTAAATGATGTATTTCTAACACAGCTGTAACACTTACACCTTCAAAGTAAACCGTGTTTTCCACTCATGCCTGTCACTGTTCAGAGAAACAATTCTCAATCCATCAGTAAATATCAGTTTTATTGCACTATGGTGTGTATGGACAATGATAATAGGAAGTGTCTTTAACTTTTTCCAATGATACCAAAAGCAACATTGAGTTAATTAAACTTGTTTTGTCTAAAAGAACGACTGACAGCCTTCATTGTATGTGCCAATTATCATGTTAAGTTTTGATACCGTGAATTTCAGTTCCCCATACTTCCGTCCACTCAGTAAATTTGTTCAAATAAATGATCTTTGAAAAGTTTTGAATGTCGCACTAAGTGCATTGTAATGCCTGTTTTAAATACATACATTTTAGTACTGAAGCATGTATTGGTTTGTAATACTTCAGGTTCCTTGTATATGTTATGATGACCTTCTAGTGCCAACATATCTCACTGGTATCTGAAGACGACTTTATAAATGGCAAGGTGACCAGCTGAGTTGTTTACCCTGTTTGAATATATGTCCACATCCTTCACTGGGGATGTCAAAACGATGTTGTGCAACAGAGATTAACAAGTCTATGGACAGGGGGCATTGCCGTCAGTATTCAAACAGGGTCAGGGATCTCTTGTTTTTCTTTTTTATAAATATATATATCTGTACAGTCATGTCTTTCAACCACTGCAGTCATTGTTAATTCTTGTACATGTTGTATCACTGGTTGTTGTACCATATCAGACATTTGTAATTATGAAATAATACACTGCCATTTGTATAAAATGCTTTTGACTCATTACTTTGTATTATCTAATGCTATATGTGGGAGACGAGACAATATCAAAATATGTTTTCTCTCTTTATTAAGTTCACTTAATATTTACTGAAAGGGTGAACTGGTTTAGGCATTGATCATCTGAAATACGGCACAATTGCATGTATTTACAGTTTTACAGAGATGTTTTGCCTAGGCCTTAAGGCTCAAAGGGCATGGAATCCTAAAATGTGACCTCTTGCCTCCGCAGGCTCAGGACCATCTCCTGTTGTGATAATCATATCATACATCTGATAACCAATATGCATTAATTAGAAGGAAGTAATCCCCAGAACAAGGTTATAATTATATAATCTAATCTAATCTAAAAACAGATTACATACAGATGTGCAGTTTGGTTATTGTTGAATTCTCAGATGTAGTAAATATAAATTATTGTTATTATTACAAATTAATATGATATGTGTGTACAATATGTAGGCTATTCCCCTCCAGGTAACACAACAATCTGGATTTAGCGTTCTCGTGACTCTCACTGAAAACAACGATGGAAAATGTAAGTCAGCTATTGGTTCACTCATCTGTCTATCAAACTAAACCTGGATGCAGATTGGCTAAATCTGCAGTGCCTGTTTTTCCATGGACATCCTGCGTTTCTGTCACAGTCCACTTCCTGGTGTGATTTCTTGTGGGCAACTCGACGCCGCATCAAAGATGTCTTTTATCATCAGAGATTCTGTTCAGTAATATTGTGAACCAACAATATATAATTTGCACAGAGGGTCGCTGGAGAGCTGGTGGTAGTTGTCGCGAGCAGTGTTGTCACTCTCGGCGCACTACGCACCGTTTGCTCTCCCTATGCTAACTGGGCTCCCCAGTGCTAACTAGCTCACATTGTAAATATTAGCTAGCTGAGCTAGCAGCCGAACATTTGATTGATAAAATGGCTACCATGGAGAAATTGATGAAGGCCTTTGAGTCTCTGAAGTCATTCCAGCAACAACAGGGACCACCGACTGCAGAGGAGCTTGTCCTGAGGCAGTAAGTGCTTAAAATTTGTGTTAGCTTGGGCTAGCTGCTTCTGTGCCCCCTCAATGGGACGCTAGGTGTTTATTAAGCACAGCTTAAAGCTAATTACGCTAAAACAAAAGCTATATGAGATACTGTACAAGCGGATAGTAGTCCTCCCACTGTGCACTGAATAAAACAAGAATCCATTTAGCAGACAGCATTAGCATATACGTGCTTGCAATTAGTAAACACTTGGGAGCACTCTAAACTGTTGCCACAAATGGAAATGGTTTACTGAGAATATTAACATTTCTTACTCCAGATCACTAGGTAATAGTTTGCTATCATAAATTGTTCAAGTTACACTATGTAGTAATAAATAATGCCTAATTGACGTATCAGACAAAAGTCTTTTTTTAAAAAATCCTCCTATTCATGTATCGCTTTAGTATGTGCTTCATTCAGTTTACCAGTGTGGGAGTATTTTAAAATGACATGCACTTGTTTTGTTAATTACATTTATCTAGACATGCAAGTTGCAACCTATGTGTTCTTTAACATTCCCATCTCTCCCTTTAAGGAAAAAGGAACAGGCCACTACCAAGAAGGACAGAGTAACACACTGTTTGACAATATGTGAAAACATAGTGGCTCAGTCACTAAGGTAGGTATTGATAATGTGCTTCAAAAAACAGAAATGCAGTAACTGAAATCCATAAATTCATCATAATGGCCTGATTGTTATGAAACCTAAATTAAAGTAAAGAAATAGCAATGTAATTGCGCAAAATATTAAAAGTGAAAACTGTTTTTAAAGACTGTAAAGTTTTTTTTAAAAGTGAATGCATTTTGCCTTTGTTTTGAAAAGCAGAACATCTCCAGAGTTTCAGAAACTTTTGGGGATTGCTATGGAGATGTTTCTACTCTGCAGCGATGACTGTGAATCTGATGTGCGGATGGTTGCTGATGAGTGCCTAAACAAAATTATCAAAGTAAGATAATTGATTTTTGAGTTGTTTGTCTTTTAAACTGCCCTGTTTTGTTCATAAATATGTCTAGATATATGTTTATTCATTAGTTTAATCCTTTATCATTAGGCACTGATGGACTCCAATTTGCCCAGATTGCAACTGGAGCTTTATAAAGAAATCAAAAAGGTACTCCATATACTACTAGACTGATCCGTCTCTGTTGTGGCCAAATGCCATGGTACATGTTTAAGTGCTGTTTTTCTGTTGGTCATCAGAATGGTGCCTCTCGGAGCCTGAGGGCAGCATTGTGGAGGTTTGCTGAGCTGGCCCACCTCATTAGACCACAGAAGTGCAGGTATACACTGCAGTATCTTGAAAATCATTTAAACAAAGTGTGATGTTATGTTGATTTTATATATGCCCATCTTCTTGTTTACATTTCAGTGACACAATATATATTATTATTACATACCAGACATACTTATATCTACTCTTTTCAGACCTTATCTAGTCAACCTGCTGCCGTGCCTCACGAGAATTACCAAGCGCCAAGAAGAAACCGTTCAAGAGACACTGGCTTCAGCAATGCCCAAGATCATGCTGGCCTTGGGACATTTTGCTAATGATAGTGAAATAAAGGTAAATTAGTTGAGAATTAAACATTTGCTGCTCTCTCTAATTTATCTAAAGAGCAACCAGAAGCATTTGTGGACAAAGTAGACACGTGGTCCATAGTAAATATATTTTGCTTTTGACAGGTGTTGCTCAAGTCATTTGTGGCAAACCTTAAGTCAAACTCGCCTACCATTCGAAGGACAGCAGCGAGCTCAGCAGTCACTGTCTGCCAACACTCCAGACGTACTACCTATTTCAACACCTGGCTCCTAAATGTGCTGCTGGGTAGGTTTTACTGCAACAGTTTAGATACATGTGTTGTGTGTATGCTGGAAATTACATTTGAAAATTGCACCCTCAGGTCTTGTGGTTCCTGTGGACGAAGAGCACCCGACTCATCTCATTCTGGGTGTCCTGTTAACTCTCCGTTACTTGATACCCCTCCTCCTTCAGCAAGTGAATACATCCAGCATCAAGGGAAGTTTTGGAGTCACAAAGAAAGAGGCAGATGTGCAGCCAACACCTGAACAACTGTTACAGGTAGAGGACATTTTAGTTTTTGCACTATAGGTGCTATTGATGCTTGATGAGCTTTCATGACTGTAACTAAACTTACCAGTGGTGAAAGAAGTGATATGTCAAGAAACAATTTTGATTTGATCACAATATGCCGATTATATCTCTACTCATATCCATAGGTGTATGAACTTACCTTACACTACACTCAACACTGGGATCACAATGTGGTCACAGCAGCTTTGGAGCTCCTGCAGCAGACCTTGCGGACTCCACCCCCAGAGCTTTTGCACATGCTCATCACCGCAGGCAGCATACCCCACGCCACTGTGTTTCGCCAGGACACTGATAGCCGTGCACGATCTGGCAGCATTCTCGAACTCATTGGTAATTACTCACTTTCAGTTGTTTTTAATTAAACATTTTTACTTTTTTTTCTGTACATTTTTTTTCTGTAACATTTCCAAGTTCCAACATTCTTGCTGTCCAGTTTTTGTTTGTGCCTTTTCTGACTAACTTGATCCTAATGAGTCTGTTTTGGACGTGCTTCTTTTCTTATTACTTTCTCTTTCTGCCTCCTGTTCCCTGGTGTTTCAGCTGGGGGAGGGTCTTCCAACAGTCCCCTCCTCCTCAGAAAACAAAAAGGTGAATGGTCTATTTATCTGTTTAGTTCACCATTTTCTCAGTAGTGATGCTTTTGCTGGTGTGAGATGGCAACACTTTAAAATAATTTTATACTATTTCTTTCTAAATCATATCCAAATAACTATTTAAATGTACATCATGTATGGGCAGCACTAGTGTATTGGAGGTTGGAGGCTCCTGAGTTCCACCAGTGCATTCTGTTGTTGTGTCCTTTGGCAAGACACTTAACCCACCTTGTCAACAATGTGTACACTGGTCGAATGTGCGCATGGATGAGAGAATGGGTCCTTGATATAAAGGTTGAAAAGCTTTGTGTAAATAGTTCCTTTATGACCATTCAAATAAGTTGATGACTTCTATTATCTCTTTAACCTGGAAAATTCTCTGCCTTCAGGAAAAATGATCTCTGGAGAAGAGGATGGGTTAGAGGATGAAGCTGAGAAAAATGACGTCACCACCGGCAACTTTTCAAGTAAGATACACCCACAACTCAATTCATCCAAGGTTTCCATGATGGTCTATCTATACATCTTTTCTTGGAAGTTTTAACATGAAAATCCACTCTGTCCCAGCTTCAGCTGCTGATGGCTCTTCTACAGGCCAAGTGGACATCATCACAGAACAGCCCCGCTCCTCGCAGCACACCCTCCAGCCCGGTGACTCTGTGGACCTCAGTGCGTCCTCAGAACAGGGTGGCAGCGGTGGGACCCCTGAATCTCCCAATGACAATGAGGAGGAAATGCTCAGCAGAAGCTCTAGTGGTGGAGCCAACATCACTCCAGAGACTGCAGATTACACCACCCCTGAGAATGTCACACCAGAGGGGCCATTAGGGAATGGAGGAGCGCTTTTAGGCACCAACGATCAATCGCTTCCTCCCAGTGACTCGTCCCAAACGACCACAGAGGGGCCCGACTCGGCGGTCACTCCCTCAGATGTAGCAGAACTGGTGGGTCTAAAATATCTACCTACATAAATGCAGTTTGCTTGTCTTGCAATGAAAAATCATTACTTTCCAGTAATAATAATAGAATTACAGAAGTGGAATAATAGAATTAGGATTTGTAGAATGGACATTAAAACATACATTTTATTTCATTAATAAATTGGTGTTCCCCATTCTGCCTTTATGAATCCACAATTGTAGCTCAAATATATTGTTTTTCAAGACATTCTTAACGAATCTGCAATGCTGTCCATTCTAACAATTCTACGTCTATGGTCTTGCCCACTTTTCTTACCCTGTCCTCACTTGGACCGCAGTCGCGCACTCCATTGCCGCAGGTGATTGAGCCATGCCCCCCCTCTCCGACCTCCACAGAGGGTCCTGATGCTGCTGACAGCGACTCTTCTGTCTACACCACATCCTCCACATCCTCCACATCGTCTTCTTTCTCTATCTCGTCCTCTTCCTCCTTCTATGCCACATCCTCCTCTAGCACTAGTGACAAGGTCAGCTGCAGTTGGACATTATCTGGCGTGAGAGGGGCTTGCTTGCCTGTTGACCTCTCCATTCTTTTCCCATTGCCTGTTTCTCAAATTCATTCCCTAATTTTACCCTGCTTACAGCTGTGCCTTGAACTTTGCATCCTGTGTTCTAAAGTTTACCTCCATGTTAAAGCAACATGTTTTTTAATATCCTATTTGGAAATCATTTGATTCGATTTCTGTAAAAGCCTGAAAGCATGGTATGGAAGGTAATTTGTTTCATCACATGTTGAATTTTAAATGCTGTTGAATTTATCATTTTGAATGTTTTAACTCTAAAGAAACAAGTTTAATTCATTGAAGTTACTACATTTTAAGTATGCATTTTTAATATGTTTAAAAATTCAAAATGAAAATTTAAAAGGTGAATTTTTTTTTATCACATTCAAGCCCTAAAATTCAACTTTCAAAATTCAGAGTGGAAAATTTGCATTAGAAAAATATGCAGCAAAGATGCAAGGCAAGGCATGAGTATCAATCATGTCTGACTGAGGAGGATAGAGGCGGTTATTTCCTATTGGCCTCTCTTCTGTGGGTGTGGCTTAGGGTTAAGGAATCAAAGAGCTGATGTTTTGAATAGGCTAATTTTGAACAATTAAATCGGTTCCCTGCAGCACCTCCTGGTTGCTACTGGGTCAGATCACTAAATCACAGGATTGATTGGATATGCTTTGTTATCTTGTGTCCTTACTGCAAAAGTTTTCGCTGCTAAATTTCACACTGAATTTTGACTTAAATTTGAGTTCTTGACTTAATTTGTTTCATGAAATTTAGAATTTTATCTTCCATACATGGTCTCTGTTTTAGATTTGGCAGGCTTTTGCTCCAGTTGAAACCAGACAGAGCAGATGGACAAATTTCCGATTTGAGATGTAATTTGGTTGTCATCAAAAGCTTAATCTTCTTCTGGTTTTAAAATATTCAGATTTTGGCAAAACTGTTGGCTTGATCTCAGTCATTTAAATCCAAGCATGTTTTAAAAAAAATGTCCCGTTCTTGTGTGTACCACAGCCATGTTTGGTCTCAGAGTTAGAAAATATATCTTTAATAGTGTAATCAGACAGATTCCAGTATTTGATGCCTTTATTTTGCTTGCTTGTATGTGTGCTTAAGGTGTTGGATGGCAGTGAGAGCCAGTACTCTGGGATGCAAATAGGAACTCTACAGGACGAAGAGGAAGAAGGAGCAGCCACAGTCTCCCAGGAAGAGCAGCAGCAGGAGCCCTTTCTGCAGTCAGCTTTGGGTATGTTTCTGGGAAACATCTGAAGCAGACGAATAATGAAATATTTACACCCCTGTGTGATTTAAACTATGGGTAATGTGCTCTGTGTTGCAGCTCTGAGTAAGCCTCACCTTTTTGAAGGTCGTGGTCACAACCGTCAGGGTTCAGACAGTAGCGTGGAGCGCTTTTTACCAAAAGAGGAACTAACTGAACCTGAGCCTGACAACAAGGTAAAGAGAAATAATTTGTACACATAAACATAAAAAAATGAAGAAGTCAAAATAAAGTGATAAGTCTACTTTAATGTACTATTTCCAGCCATCTCGGATAAAGGGTCAAATCGGACATTATACAGATCAAGATAAGGAACCTGTAGTTCACTGTGTTAGGCTTCTTGCAGCTTCCTTCTTGTTAAATGGACAAAAGAAAGGTAATGATTGCATTTGCATATTTACTAGACTCAAGAATACAAAGACCAGCAGATGCATTTGTATTTGTACAATTTGTTGCAATTTATTTGAAGAAAGAATTATAATGGCTGCTTCATTTTCACAGGCCTTATACCTGACAAAGAGGTACGAGTGAGTGTGAAAGCCCTGGCTATCAGCTGTGTGGGGGCGGCTGCTGCTCTACATCCTGCCGCTTTCTTCAACTCCCTCTACTTGGAACCGCTGGACGGCATCCCAATAGAAGGTAGAGGTGCAGTATTATTTAGAGGTACAATAGTATAAACATCCCCCCGTACAGCCTACATAACAAGTATTGTTGAATATGAAACAATGTTTTGTATATTTGGAGAACTTAATACCATGCTATGCTTATCTCACATTTAATAATTTAATCTCACATTTAATCCACCTCTGTTGACTCTGGTCTTGTAGAAATCACAAGTGAACTCAAAATTTCCCTAAAGACTGATAGGTTAGACATCAGGGGGACATTTTATCATAACTTATTTTTGCCCTGACAGAGCAACAGTACATCAGTGATGTGCTTTGCCTCATCGACCATGGGGACCCTCAAATCCGAGGGGCCACTGCAATCCTTTGTGGAGCCATTATCCACACAGCTCTCACCAAAACCCGTTATAACATACACAGCTGGCTGGCCAGTGTACAAAGTGTAACAGGTTTGTTTATTTGTCAGATTCTTATTATAAAAGCATTGTTTTTATTCCAATACTTCTTTTTTGCTCTTCCATAGGTAACCGTCTGTCCCTGGTGGACATGGTACCTTTGATCCAAAAAACATTAAAGGATGAATCGTCTGTCACCTGTAAGATGGCTTGTTCTGCAGTGCGAGTAAGTATGTTTAGGTGCAAATGTTGTGTGGCTTGTACTTGTGTATTTAATTTGTGTGTTTGTTGCAGCACTGTGTAATGACCATTTGTAAGAGTACCCTGAGTGAGCTCGGACTTCAGCTGCTGATTGACCTGCTGTGTCTCAAGGACTCTTCTTATTGGCTTGTTCGAACTGAGTTATTGGAGACAATGGCTGATATTGATTTCAGGTAAATCTAATGAACTATAGATCATGTAACAACACATATGAGCAATATAAAAAAATGTTGTGTTTGTTAGAATAATTAACTTCTTAGAGATGAGAACTGAAGCTTTGCATAAAGGAAATCATCACTACACTGGGGTAATTTTTGCATCTTACAGTTGATTACTGTTGATTTTTGCATACACATTCGCATACATTTGAAACGCATACAAAACCTCACAATTCTTCATTACAGAGATTGGTGTTGCAGGAGAGGGTCCTACATGATGTGGTCATCTGTCTTTTGGGAGATGATGACCCCAGAGTGCGGCATGTTGCAGCTTCAATTGTTAGCAGGTACTTTCTATTATGCGTACCTTCTTTTCTGAGTGTATACCATATTGACACGTTTTGCTTGTTTTTAGGCTTGTTGCCCGATTGTTTTATGACTGTGACCAGGGTCAGGCTGATCCAGTTGTTGCTGTTGCCCGAGACCAGAGTTCAGTGTATTTACAACTGTTAATGCATGAAACACAGCCTCCCTCCCAACTTACCGTCAGCACAATCACAAGGTAACCACATACAACTGTTTTCTTTTTTTTTTTTTTTTTTAAATAAAGGCACTGGCATTATTATATCAAGTTGTTATAACACAAATCCATAAATATTCTCTACAAAGAAGCCTTCAGTCACTATTTTAAGTTTAGTTGTATCTTATCGCTTTTTGTTCTGCCAGGACATACAGGGGCTATAATCTGTCTAATACAGTTCCTGACATCACCCTGGAGAACAACTTGTCCAGAGTCATCACTGCAGTGTCACACGCATTTACCACGTCTACCTCTAGAGCCCTTACAGTAAGATTTTGTCCTGTTTCTACAATGTTTTGACACATTTGATTTGATGTTTTCTCCACTATGTCTGAACACATTCTGCTTTCCTTTGTAGTTTGGCTGTTGTGAGGCTTTATGCCTTATGGCTTCAGCCTATCCTGTGTGTAACTGGAGCACAGGCTGGCACTGTGGTTATGTGAGCGCTGGATCCAGTCTTGCTTCTCGGGCCAGTCTAAACCGCAGCAGGGGCCGGGCCCATAGGTTAGTCCAAACCTTGCATGATAAAAAAATTATTTTATTTTTTTCTTGTCATAATAATAAAACTTTTTGTCATTGCAGTTTTTCACACTCCAGCCATACGCCCGCATCATCATCTGCACCAGACACAGAAAAGAAAACTTTGGTCATGGGAGTGGCTAGCATGGTGCTGTCCTTGCTCTCCTCGGCCTGGTTTCCTTTGGATCTCTCTGCACACCAAGATGCACTTTTACTTGCTGGCAATTTGCTTGCTGGTGAGTAATGGAAGCACTTTGGGATTTGTAGATAATGACTAATACATAAATAACCCTATTGTCTCATGTTTATACCCCCAGCTGTGTCACCTAAATGTATGCGTAACCCCTGGTCAGGTGAGGAGGAAGGAGGTAATTCAAATGTTAGTGCTGGGCCTAATAAGATGGAGGAACCCTGGGCTGCGCTATCAGAGCGCCCTCTTGTGGTTATGGTGGAACAACTGTTCTCTCATTTACTGAAACTACTCAACATCTGCGCACATGTGCTAGATGACACTCCACCTGGTCCAGCAGTAAAGGTAATTCGTATTGTTCTGATGTTTCCAATTTGCATGAATTAATGATAAATTCACAAATTTCTTTTTAGGCCACCCTTCCATCATTAACAAACACCCCATCCTTGAGTCCCATTCGCAGGAAGGGAAAAGAGAAGGACGTATCTGATCCTAGCGTGGCACCCATGAGCCCAAAGAAAAGCACTGAAACCAGCACAGGTATACAATCAAAGCCACCCTAACACTGGACCAAATAAACTTGAGTGTAAAATAAAGTGTGTCATTCAAATGAGTAGGACGACCACCAGATAACACTGGATCAACAGCAGTCAGTAAATCTACAACTCTTGGTAATTTCTACCATCTGCCAACCTACCTCAAGCTCTATGATGTCCTGAAAGCCACATACACAAATTACAAGGTTAAATAGTAATTTTACTTTAAAATGTTATTACCATGAAACTGCCTATTTAGTACTAATGTTCTATATGGGGATTTGGTTAGGTTACACTTGATCTACACAGTAACCAGGAGAAGTTTGGCTGTTTTCTACGCTCTACCTTGGATGTTTTGTCACAGCTATTAGAACTGGCAACTCTGCATGATATTGGCAAGGTATGCAATTAAAATGATTAATCAAAATGGTTATTCTGCTTTGCCGATGATAACATAAACCTTCTGTGGTTCTGATCAGTGTGTTGAGGAAATTTTGGGCTACCTGAAATCCTGCTTCTCCAGAGAACCAACCATGTCCACTGTTTGTGTACAGCAGGTTAGTGATTCTATGAGTATAGTGCATTATTTTTTGTGTGGCAGTCGTTCATGGTTTCAGCACAGAGCAGTGTGCTGTAACGGTCTTGACACCACACAGACTGAGGCTGGTTCCTGCCGACAGGGACTGTAAAGTCATTGGCTTCCCTGTGCGATGGTTCCATACATATTTTATTCTAATGCTTTAATGTGCTTGTAAGATGTGCATGTTCATTTTAGTTGCTGAAAACTCTTTTTGGCACCAACCTGGCCTCTCAATATGAGGGCGTTCTGAGTGGACCCAGTCGGACTCAAGGGAAAGCTCTCCGTTTGGGGTCTTCCAGCCTTCGGCCTGGCCTCTACCATTACTGCTTCATGGCCCCCTATACGCACTTCACCCAGGCACTGGCTGATGCTAGCCTACGCAACATGGTGCAGGCTGAGACGGAGCAGGACACATCTGGGTACATATTTTTTTACATTTCACAGGTGGCTGTATGTTTTAAATGAACACCATACTGAAAATGTTATCCCTTGTTTTAGATGGTTTGATGTCATGCAAAAGGCATCAAATCAGCTCAAGTCCAACATAGCTAATGCAACACGCCATAGAGGAGACAAGGTGAGTTATACAAACCCAATAAGAAGCTTAATGAATGAAAATGTACTTATTCTATTTACATTTATTTAAACAAATTCGATTTTACAGTTACGGTACAATTATACTTTTCTTTCAGAGTGCCATTCACAATCACATTCGGCTGTTTGAGCCACTGGTGATTAAAGCTTTAAAGCAGTACACCACAAGCACCTCTGTCTCACTGCAGAGACAGGTGCTGGACCTGCTCGCCCAACTGGTACAACTCCGAGTCAACTACTGCCTCCTGGATTCAGATCAAGTATGACATAGTGCTTCTGTTTATCTTCTTGGCTTTCGCGTGTACATTTTTTAGAAATGTGCATTGCGAGAATGTCTGATGTTTACTGGCTCAACAGTGTGAACTTGTTTTTTTGTTTCAGGTGTTTATTGGATTTGTCCTGAAACAGTTTGAGTACATTGAAGTTGGACAGTTTAGGTAGTTGTGCTTTTTAGTATACAGCATTGGCACTGACTTCCACTTAGCAATTTTGTACTGAGCATTCTTATATTCCTCATAGGGATTCAGAGGCCATCATCCCAAATATATTTTTCTTTCTTGTACTTCTGTCGTATGAGCGATACCACTCCAAGCAGATCATCAGCATCCCTAAAATTATCCAATTGTGTGATGGGATTATGGCTAGTGGGAGAAAAGCTGTGACCCATGGTGAGATCAATCACAAAATCAACATGAACAAAACGTTGCAAATTTGACTTACTTTACTGTCTCTCTACAGCTATCCCTGCATTGCAGCCCATCGTCCATGACCTTTTTGTTTTGAGAGGCTCCAATAAAGCTGATGCAGGAAAAGAGCTTGATATTCAGAAGGAAGTGGTTGTGTCCATGCTGCTCAGGCTCATTCAATACCACCAGGTACAATATCACAAGTTTCTTAGTGTATTTTGTTTATATTGTTTGATACTTTTTGTTAACCTTAAATAGGCTTAATGAATATGCTCTTATTTAGAATGATTTGGGCTTAGTAACTACATTATTGGGGTTAGGGTGTTCATTAATTTGTGGTAGTTGTACTAAGCTGACTTAAGTTTTAACCATTTCCTTATTATTGCTCATGTTTCATTAAGGGTGATTAAAATGTAGTTATTATAAAGTGTTATGGTACCCATTATTTAATATTTTCTTATCTTATACATTTACAATTTAGGTGTTGGAGATGTTTATCCTTGTGCTCCAACAATGTCACAAAGAAAATGAGGATAAGTGGAAAAGACTGTCACGGCAGATTGCAGATGTCATTCTTCCGATGATCGCAAAGCAGCAGGTGGTGTTATAAATGACAATGAATCCTCTCATTTGACATATTCTATTTGTTACCAAGACTGTTGCGTTGTGATTGTACAGATGCATTTGGACTCCCCAGAGGCACTGGGTGTTCTGAATACTCTCTTTGAGTCAGTTGCTCCCTCTTCTCTGAGACCAGTGGACATGCTGTTGAAGAGTATGTTTACCACTCCGGTTACAATGGTAAGAATTTTACAATACAGCTACTATTTACTTAACTGGGTTTCAAAATCTCTTCATACTTCAAACTTCACCCCTGCAGCCAGGTGTTTGCAATCAGAAACATCTGGCTATAATCAGGGGAGTCTTATGTGATGTCACCAAGCACTTAAACTGAAGTGTCCACTGGAGCCAGGACACAGATTTTTATATATTTTTGACCGCAAAGCTACAAATGTACCTAGTTTGTGCTAAAATTGTCAAAAAAAAGCCCAGCAAACAGTAGATAATGCTATCAAAACAAAGTATTTAGTGCCACTTTAAATATGACCTTTTGTGCCTCTGCAGACTTCAGTAGCCACAGTCCAGTTGTGGGTGTCTGGTATCCTGGCTGTGCTGAGGGTACTAGTATCTCAGTCCACAGAAGACATTGTACTGTCCCGAGTCCATGAACTCTCCCTATCCCCTCATCTCCTGTCCTGCCAAACCATCACTCGCCTGCATCAGCAAAGTACCTCCACAAATGACCCACCATCTGAAACACCTGCCACCCAGGAACCTAATGGTGACACTCAAAAAACTCTCCCAGAAGAAACCTTTGCCAGGTTTGTAAAGCTTTTTAAAATAGCACTACTGGATTTTTGTGTTACAGGTTTTGTTTTTTACGGATTGACTGTACATGATTTTATTGGTTATTTTTGACATGACCTGAGCGCTGCGAACTTTATTGACCCTAAATAAAGTTGATATTGACATTATTTTACAATTGTGTATATAGGTTTCTGTTGCAGTTGGCTGGAGTTTTACTCGATGACATTTCAACCCGTCAGATCAAAGTGGACATTACTGAGCAGCAGCACACCTTCTATTGCCAGCAGCTGGGCACACTCCTAATGTGCCTTATACATATATTTAAAAGCGGTGAGTCTACATTGAAATGGACACCTTTTATCTTATCTTTTCAAATTGTAATGATTAATCTTTATTTTACGTTTTAAGGGATGTTTCGGAGGATCACAGCTGCAGCCAGTCGGCTCTTGAAGGGTGAGAGCGGAGGTACACAGTCTGAAAGCTGTGAGTTTTACCAGCTGGAGGGACTGAACAGCATGGTCCAAAGCCTCATCACGACCCACCCCTCCCTCGTGCTGCTATGGTGCCAGGTTCTGCTCATCATCGATTACACAAACTACACCTGGTGGTCAGAGGTGCACCAGACACCCAAGTAAGAAATAACCCAGTAATGAAAAATGCATATTATGCTTTTGTATTTTATATAGCTCTAATCTATGACACCTGTGGATATTGATCTGAAACGGCAAAAAGAAACACATTTCACTCATTTTTTAATTTGTGCCGAAGTGACTATATAATGCCACCCTTGGTGTATCAACATTTGTTCACATATCATGTGAAAAATAAATAATATTAAGTAAAAAGAATTTGAGACGAAGTAGTTAAAGAGCAGTGGACAATTATGGGGGTTAGAGGAAACTGTTTTGAATGCAGAAGAATAAACATGTATGGCTCTAAATAACTCCGAGTGGGTAAATGTGAAGGGAAAACAATCATAACATGGGTTGCCTCTTTAATATTGCACTCCTGCTTATCATATTCACACCTGTAAAATTGTGTGGTTTGATCTAATTTGATTTTCCTTTTGTTTTTCCTTTTGTAGGAGACAGAGTCTATCCTGCACAAAGCTGCTGAGTCCTCGCAGCTCAGGTGAAGGTGAAGAGGACAAGCCTGAATCAAGGTTGGCTATGGTCAACAGAGAGATTGTACGAAGGGGAACCCTCATCTTGTTCTGTGATTATGTGGTAAGGATAATATTGTTAATTGATTTTGCCTTGTAGTTCTTTTAAGTCTATGTTTCCATTTATATTTCTTCCTTTCAGTGTCAAAACCTCCATGACTCAGAGCACCTGACCTGGCTGATTGTTAATCATGTGCGAGACCTGATCAGCCTTTCTCATGAGCCTCCAGTGCAAGATTTTATCAGTGCTGTTCATCGTAATTCTGCTGCCAGTGGCCTCTTTATTCAGGCCATCCAGTCACGCTGTGACAATCTCTCTACTGTAAGATTACGAAGAGGGAAAGTTTTATTTGATATTACTTCAATTAATTACAATTTTTAATTCACTCTCTGGGTAATTTCTTTTAGCCCACCATGTTGAAGAAAACTCTGCAGTGTTTGGAGGGGATCCACTTGAGTCAATCTGGATCTCTGCTGATGCTGTATGTGGACAAGCTGCTCAGTACTCCATATCGAGTGCTGGCCCGTATGGTGGACACCCTGGCCTGTCGCAGGGTTGAGATGCTGCTCGCTGAAACACTACAAGTACGCAGCAGAAGCACTACTGAAAGGTTTGGGTTCTAAATTTGTATTTAATTCATCATCTGTTTAACCCTGCAGAACAGCATAGCTCAGCTCCCTGTGGAAGAGCTCAATAGGATTCAGGAGTATCTTCAAAGCAGTGGGCTTGCTCAGAGGTAAAGATGCCACTTGGATACTATGTGGTTACTGTGTGCTGTCTCTTTGGGTAGCAGAAACTTTGATCCACCCTCTTCTTTCCATTTCAGGCATCAGAGGTTCTACTCTCTGCTGGACAGGTTTAGGGCCACTGTTACCGACAGCAACAGCCCAGTCCCACCTGTGACGTCACACCCCTTAGATGGGGATCCTCCACCTTCACCAGAATTAGTAATAGCAGATAAGGTAAGCTATATTGTATATATGTAAGCTTTTGGTAAAATAATCATAAAAATTAGGCTCTATTTAATATTGTGAGCAAATATATAAACCCTATGTGCTTTATTAGGAATGGTATGTAGCCTTGGTGAATTCACAGTGTTGTCTCTGTGGAGATGTGTCTTTGCTGGAGACAACAGAACTTCTTACTAAACTACCTCCACCAGATCTCTTGAACGTAATGACCTGCAAGGTAATCCCGTAACATTATTTAAGTCCCTAATAAATGCTTATCTGACGATTGTTGATATCTTTCTTGTAGGAATTCAATCTCAGTCTGTTATGTCCAAGTATAAGTTTGGGAATTCACCGGTTAACACGAGGTCAAGGGACACTTCTGCTAGAGACGGCATTGCAGGTTACCTTTGATCAACTTGCTGAGGTCACGCGGTCACTTCCTTCTCCGCACCAGTCTTTCCTGCCTCCCTCTCAGCCTCCGCCCTACTGGGAATCTCTAGCCACTATGTTTGGTAAGGAACATGGAAATTATCTGGAAAATGAGAAGTCTTTTGCACCCATAACACATCTTAAAATTAATAAACTTTTTTCCAGATGAGCCTGGCTTCTTCCCAAAGGTTTTGTCGCTGTGCAGAGCTCTCTCACAGTACATGTTGAATGTCAGTCAGCTGCCTTCCTCCCTTCACATTTCTGTGGAAAAGGAGCATCTCATCACTGCTTTTACCTGTACTGCAACAGAGGTAGTTGCAATGTTTGTACAGATTTGTACAATGGAATTTGAATTTGAATTTATTTGTTTGGAGGATAAGCCCCTTGAGATGTGTCACCATCTCGTTTTCGAGGGGGTCCTCATAAATACAACAACAAAAGACAGATACAGTAGGGCAGACAGTAGGATACATAAATTCAAATAAGCATCAAAACAACAAAATCAACACAACCACAAACACACACACACACAGTCACGCTCACTCACGCTTGACTGTTTCACACATAATAAAACAAATTTGAAAGAAAAATAAATAAATAAAAATAATAATAATAATAATAAATTATAATATTAATAACAATAATAATAATAAACAGAGTTCAAAGATAATCACAGGATACAACAAGATAAACAACAAAATTCAACAAAATAATCAAAAACAATTACATGGGTTATGTAAATGTTGAACCAGAGCATTTTTAAATAAAGGGACAGAAGTTAAAGCACGAATCGATGAGGGAAGATTGTTCCAATCAGAAGCAGCTTTATATTTAAATGAGTATTTTCCAATTTGTTTTTTGACTCTTGGGACAACAAAAAATATCTGATCTGCATGACGTAAACTATAACTATTCAGGATAACTGAGATTAATACATTTAAAAATAAATAACCAGTGAAGTTGACGTCAGGAGGACAGATTAAGCCAGGACAGTTGGTGATACATTGTATAGTGGTGAGTTCTAAAGGGACAGCGGAGAATGAATCTGCACAGACTGTTATAGATAATGTTGAGTGGTTGGAGAATAGAAGTTTTAGTATTTTGATAAATGATATCACAGTAATCTAAAATGGGAAGAATTAGTTGTGAAATAATCTTTTTCCTAACAGAAAAGCTAAAACAACTGATGGACTGATAAAGTAATTTTAAGCGATATGGGTTCACCTGTTGTTAAAATGACCTTGTGTTTTCTTCGTCAGGTGATAGTTTGGCGTCTGCTACAGGACCAGCTGCCTCTCAGTGTGGACCTCCAGTGGGCTCTGGCCTGTCTATGTCTAGCATTACAACAGCCATGTGTTTGGAACAAGCTTTCTACATCAGAGTACACCACACATACCTGCTCTCTTATTCACTGTCTGCGCCTCATCATTGTTGCAGGTAAAAGGGGGGTAGTCATCATTAAATTACAGTTTGGTGTTCTTGCTATACTACTATTACTGAGTTAAGATTTGCTTGTGTGTTTAGTGGCAGTGAAACCTGGTGACCAGCTTTTGTATTCTGAGAAAAGACCCAAGGTGGAAGAGGATGGAGATGAAGTAGACTCCCCTCATGCAAACCGTAAGTGCCAATTCAGGGAATGTGGTGTTTATTCAGCTGTTCATGTATCTCAGATCCTGCAGGTTAATAATGCACTGCTATTGTTGTAGACCTGCGTGAATGGCAATCATGTGAGATAATGGGAGAACTGGTCGAAGGTCTCCGGAGTGTCCTTACATTGGGCCACCATAGAAACAGTGCAATTCCAATCTTTCTTACTCCAACTCTGCGCAACATTGTGATCAGTCTATCTCGACTGCCTTTGGTTAACAGTTACACCAGAGTTCCTCCACTGGTCCGTAAGAGAACTATGAACTATCATGTAATATTAAACTATATTAAATGATGGTGATGGTCTTTTCTAGGTTTGGAAATTGGGCTGGTCCCCTCAGCGGGGTGGAGAGTTTGGCACAAGCTTACCAGAGATTCCAGTGGATTTCCTGCAGGAGAAGGATGTCTTCAGAGAGTTTCTCTACCGCATCAACACACTGGGTATGAACAGAAGTCCATCTAATACATGTATGTCCTTTATTATTATGGCGTATTATGTATGTCATAAAAATGTCATGTTTAGGTTGGAGCAGTCGGACCCAATTTGAAGAGACATGGGCCACTCTGCTGGGGGTGCTGGTCACTCAACCCATCACTATGGACCAGGAGGAGGAGACACAACAAGAGGTAATGTGTGTTGTAAATGACACGTCCTCTATAAGAACTGCTTTGCCATGACAACAGTTCTAAAACAGCTAATCCTAAAGCAGAATAATGGATTTGGCTGTACATGTCATTGCCATAAATAGGACATTAATAAGGTATTAATTAAATTGTTATTTGGTCCCTGCATTTCCTGTTTAGGAGGACTTGGAGCGTACCCAGTTGAATGTGTTGGCTGTTCAGGCCATCACCAGCCTGGTGCTGAGTGCTATGACCCTGCCTACAGCTGGAAACCCTGCGGTGAGCTGTCTGGAACAACAGCCGCGCAACAAGAGCCTCAAGGCCTTAGAGACACGGTATATTTTCAAATTTATCATCAAATTTTAACAATCCATGCTGTTTACATTTTTGTTTTTTTTACATTTTTATTCAAAGATTTGGGAGAAAGCTTGCAGTGATCAGAGGAGAAGTGGAGAGGGAGATTCAGGCTCTTGTGTCGAAGAGGGACAATGTTCACACACATCACCCTTACCACGCATGGGACCCTGTGCCCTCACTCTCTGCTGCCTCAACAGGTAACTAACTGTATGCACCAAATTTATTCTCCTATTTGAAGAAGTGTATTCATAATTCCTCTTTTTGTGTAGCAGGGACTCTAATTAGCCATGAAAAACTGTTGCTGCAGATCAACACAGAGCGGGAAATGGGAAACATGGACTACAAATTAGGACAGGTTAGAAGTAACATGCATTTGTTTGTAAATCGTTAAATAGGCTTTTTGTTAAACCTCTTTTTACCTTTTTTCAGGTCTCAATCCATTCAGTTTGGCTTGGCAACAATATCACCCCGCTCAGAGAAGAGGAGTGGGGAGAAGATGAAGAAGATGAGCCTGACACTCCAGCTCCCACGTCCCCACCGCTGTCTCCCATCAATTCCAGGTAACAAACAGGGTACACTCTGAAATAGATGGCACGGCAAGTACAGTGTGTAATTTGTGTTGCAATTTTAGGAAGCACAGAGCTGGCGTGGACATCCATTCCTGTTCCCAGTTTCTGCTTGAGCTTTATAGTCAGTGGCTCATCCCAGGCTCACCCAACAACAGAAGGATCCCTACCATACTAATTAGTGAAGTAGTCCGATCGGTGAGTCCTCCACTACAATCAATACTTCTTAAATGTAAGATTGATATTCTCGCTATACTTATTTAAAGTTGCTATCACTTTTCTGACTATATATCCATGGAGATATTATGTTTAATGCCTTACTGTGGAATATTCATACATATCTTACATTTATTCAATTAAATTAAGGTAAATTAACTGTAACTTGGTCTCGTAACGCCTTATGTTTTTCTCCATGGAGATAGATATGTTTTAATGTTTCTGAACATTTCTTACATTACCATACTGCATTTTGTTTATTGTAGCTTCTGGCAGTATCAGATCTTTTTACGGAGAGAAATCAATTCGACATGATGTTCTCAACTCTAATGGAACTACAGAAGCTCCACCCACCAGAAGATGAGATCCTCAACCAATACTTGGTTCCTGCTATCTGCAAAGCAGCTGCTGTATTGGGCATGGTAAGGACCACATTAAAACCAGTATTTTAAAATTGCTTGTTTGAGCTTTTTACAATTTGATCTTTATAAATGAGAATTATTGGTTAAATAGTGATTAAATAAAATGTAAAATGGTATAATAATAATAACAATAACACCAAATACCACCAAAAACATACGTAAACTTGTATTTGGCTTCATTCAGTTTTACTCAGTTACAGTTTTCCTCAGATTATTACGTCACATGTAGATAAGAGGTTTCTTCATAGGTAATCGCCAGACTTGTTTTGAACATTTCTGCATCTTTACAGCTGTATGTTTAAATTAGCTTAAATGACTAGCTTTTGTTTTTTTCATGGTAATTCCCTCTGTTGCCAGTAGATGTCACATGCATACACCAAACCTTAGTATGGGGACTGGGACCACATTTGATTAAACATGATCTGTTTTATATTCATAGTTGTTTTTTAAGTGCTTAAATATTAAATAACAAATCTAAAGTAATGCTTTCAAAAGTATTTATAAAGGTCAGTGGCAAAACAAATAACACATAATATGAGTCATTTAAAAGACCGTGTACATTTCCAGGATAAAGTCATAGCAGAGCCAGTGTGCCGCTTGCTGGAGGCGACACTTCGTAGCACTCACCTGCCCAGTCGAATGGGGGCTCTTCATGGGGTTTTGTATGTGCTGGAGTGTGACCTGCTCGATGATACTGCCAAACAGCTCATCCCCACAGTCTCTGAGTACCTGTTGTCCAATCTCAGGGCTATTGCACAGTAAGTATAATGTGGGAATAATATTGACCTCACTTGCACTTGCATAATAGACTTAAATACTGAAACCAGAATTTACCCTTATACTGCAGCCTTGTTGTTATTTTACTCTGGATGAAATGACAGTGTCTTGAGTCTCAGTAATTGTTTATATTTGTGCCCTACAGTTGCGTACACTTGCACAACCAGCAGCATGTGTTGGTCATGTGTGCAGTGGCCTTCTACATGATGGAGAATTACCCTCTGGATGTAGGCTCGGAGTTCATGGCGGGAGTAATACAGGTAAAGTTACAGTTAAAAAGTGTTACGAATGTTGTAATTATGTGAGCAATTGTTTCTAGATTGTAATGGTGTCTTAGGTGCAGATTGGGGTCAGGAGGGTATACTGATTTACTGTATTATCATATAACCAAAAAAAACCCACATAAGAATCATGTCATAAAGTAGTAGGTGAGTAGGTCTATGATCTCACTATGCCTAACCCAAAATTTGGACAGCTTTATACATTTTACCTGCCCACTGTTCCTATTTAATATTATAGGCTTATAAAATGTGATGTTGTCTGGCACCCAGCTGTTACTGGCTCTTTCCCTTTGTGCTCATTGCCTCCTTGTTTCAGCTGTGTGGTGTTATGGTCTTGGCCAGTGAGGATTGTACTCCTTCTGTTATCTACCACTGTGTGCTCCGTGGCCTTGAGCGCCTCCTACTGTCTGAGCAGTTATCTCGCGTGGATGCTGAGTCTCTGGTCAAACTCAGTGTAGACCGAGTGAACATGCCTTCGCCTCACAGAGCCATGGCGGCACTTGGCCTCATGCTCACCTGCATGTACACAGGTAAGGAAGATTCTAACTTTACTAGAGAGCACCGTATTTGGATAGCTCAGTTGCGCACTTACAGAACTCTGCATGTGAACTTATCCAATGACCTTTGCATTCTGTGGTAGAAAACCCAACCCATAGAGAAACATAGTTGTTGTCCCCTCAAGTAACCTGTAAAAACCTGAGTGTCTATCAATGGGTGCTTTTACTAGAAAAATTAGGACAGGTCTAATATCTAAGTGAAATTTGCTACTTCCCATCTTACTGTACAAAATGCAGTACTCTTTCAAGAATAAGACATTATGCCTTTTTCAGAAGCATCAGCTTTCCTGCTCATATTTTAGTATATAGAGGCATTAATTACTAATTTACTTAGTGTTTGCATTTCTTTTCTTTTTGCTACAAATTATGCATCCTGCATGTTACGTGTATAAGACATAGGTTTGGACATAGAAACCTAACCTCTAACCCCCTACAATGACCCTTACTAACTGTAGTGTCTAAAGCATGTTGCCTTTTTCTTTTGGAGTTAGTTAATTGTAGTAATTTTGAGGTATTGTCCTGTATTTAACTTGAAGATCTTTGCCCCGCTCCTTACTAATTGGAAGCAATGCCAATGTACTGTCCCTACAAACCATTTATAGAAAATTTTCCAGAATTTCCTAAATATCTACATTCTGTTTTGACCAAATTTCTAATAATTTGATCAGCTTTTTGTTCAAACTCTAATGTGTGTTCCACTGGTCGTCCTCTCAGCGGTGCTTGCGTCGGGTTCAGAGGTCACAGGGGTTAGAGGTCAGGTTGACTCTGCCGTAGTGAAGGCGGTGGGCGTCACGGCAGGTCATGTTGGTTTCTCTTCAGGGAAGGAGAAGGCCAGTCCTGCCGCTCGCCCCGCCCACTCTGACCCGCAGGCTCCAGACAGCGAGTCCATCATTGTGGCTATGGAGAGAGTCTCTGTCCTCTTTGACAGGTATAAACATCCTTCTACAATTATTGAACACACTCTGTTTTAAGAAACCAAATTGGTCATCTTATTTAGTTTGACTCATGAGTAGGGTTGGGTGATATGACTTTTTACACTTTTTTTTCTCAATCTCAATTTTCAATTAAAACGAGGCTTCCGGTATGTTTTTTTTTTTTTTTTTAACATAAACAAGACAGATTTGCACAGTTTTTTGTTAAATGGCACTGATTCAGTTTCTTTCACCAAAGTCTGAAATCTGCTTGAACCCACATCCTGGGTCAGTCAACGCAGGATTGACTGTGGAACTCTTGATTAAAATCACCCAACCATTTCATTGACAGTTAGACAGGATTACATTTTAACTGAGATTCTGCAATTGCCTCAGCTCAACTCAGGACTATGTTGTACCCCAATTTTCAACAGTTGAATTTCCTCTTTGCAGAATCCGGAAGGGTTTACCCAGTGAGGCCAGGGTAGTGTCTAGGATTTTGCCCCAGTTTCTGGATGATTTCTTTCCACCACAGGATGTCATGAATAAGGTCATCGGCGAGTTCCTGTCCAATCAGCAGCCCTACCCACAATTCATGGCCACTGTAGTCTACAAGGTCAGTACAGGATTATTTCTAACTTTCCTCCACTCAAGAGTTCACTTCATGCCACTTTGTAAGATTAGTTGAATGGATGACTTAAATTGTGTTTATGGTGTTTATACTTTATGGATCATATTGACTGGTAAAATGCTTTTGATTAAAGGCAAAAGAACTGCATGTTATGGAGCTATATTATGGAAAATCTAATTTTTATGAGCTTTTAACAATGTTATAACAGTGTTCTCTCTTCATTAACTCATTCAGTTATATTTCTGTTACATTTTTGTCCTACATTTGAGGCTTGAGTGCTTCGAAAATGTCTGTTTTCACCTACCTACCAACACTTACTTAGTAGATTTTCATTTACTTTAATGTTCAAAAATAGCTGAGAGCTTTTTAACCAAACATGTATAACACAGAGTCAGACGTTTTTGAATTATCCTGTTATGGTATGAAGAGGCACTGAGGCCGGGCTTCTTATTGCAGCAGTTTTGTACAGTTAAAGTCAGTACCCTTTTCTATTAATAAAGAGTTTCATACCAGTATTACGGTTTACATTAAATAAAGTGTACAATAATGGCGTATATTTTTTTTTTATTCTTTGGAGCAGATATATGTATAATAGTGTTAATTTTTCCTGCTGTTGTAGGTTTTCCAGACACTCCATGCCACAGGACAGTCCTCCATGGTGCGAGACTGGGTGCTTCTGTCCTTGTCCAACTTCACTCAGAGGACGCCAGTGGCTATGGCCATGTGGAGCCTCTCCTGTTTCTTTGTCTCTGCTTCCACCTCACAGTGGATCTCTGCTCTGTATCCTTAGACATCAAAGAATTAAGTGATTATTTAAAGTACACTTCAGAAAGAGTTTTAATAATGCCGTCTTTGTTATAATTTCTGTTATATGTTTTAGAGTCTGTAGAGTAGTGATTAAAATAATATAATTAAATTATCATTATCATAATTTATAAAAATATTTTTACATTGCTTTCCTTGACACTGTTTCCTTCACCAGTCTGCCCCATGTGATCAGCAGAATGGGCTCCAGTGAGGTGGTGGATGTGAATCTTTTCTGTCTCGTTGCCATGGATTTCTATCGGCACCAAATCGATGAAGAACTGGACCGCCGGGCTTTCCAGTCTGTGTTTGAGACTGTGGCCTCCCCGGGCAGCCCCTACCACCAACTGCTGGGCTGTCTGCAGTCCATCCATCAAGACACATCCCTCTGAGAGCTGGAGGGTAAAAATGAAAGAAAAAAAAACAACAACTCATTTGCACCTCACTTGTGCTTGAAGATGGATCAGAATGTGTATGTAAATGTGATCTACTGTAGCCGTGTTTATTTCACTATTTCACTAGTCAGTTGAAGCAAAAGGTCCCAAAAATTCTGAAAATGCCTCAGCTTAAGGGGATGTTTCTGCCCCCCTAACATCAGTGACTCCAGACTATTTCACAATACAAGCATCAGCACCTTTATTGTGTCTTAACCCTGCACTTTGACAAAGCTTCATAGAAATCCACAAAAATATTCAGTTACACTGGGTTAAAAATGCTGGGCTATATTTCAAACCATTTTTATATTTTGTTATTGTCAGATAATTTATGCAAAATTATATTAATGAAGTGGTGGGGAGAAGTCACCACAGTTATAAATGACAAGATTATGTACAGAGAGGTATGTTTTAAAGTATGTTTTCTCTATGTATACATTTTAGCAGTTCAACCCTTGCAAAGTGGATTAACACAACTCATTATAAATGGCTATTTCTGTACTTCTCAGGATGTATGTGACTTATTTACAGTAATCTATATGGAGTGTTGTGTAAAAAGATTTGTAAAGTATATGAAAGCCTTGGTGCATGATGATGTGTGAAGAAAGATCTTAACTTTATGACAATGCAATGCCATATTCCTGTTGTACAACACACCACTTCTTAGAAGTTCACAGAAAGCAAAAAGCAATGCGTTTTAACAGTGACTTGACCTGTAGCCCAGACAAGATCTGTGCTGTGTCACTGTACATACACTTGCCTTAGCAAAAGACTAAAAATGTATGTCTTGTACATTGAAAGCTTGACGCATGCTTAGCATTACTGCTATTCTCACGCATTTTCCTTATGACTAGATTTCCATGGGTACGGTTGCTATGACTGTTGCAACTAAATCCAAAAGGAGCCTTCTCGACCAACAGCAGCTTTGACAAATCAGACCGAGGACAGTGTAGCGTAGGGGTACCATGTGACTCTTCTGTTGTTGAGCTTTAAATATTTTGTCTGGATTTAGTATTGGTAAATATTCCATCAATAATTGTCTATGTGCTGAGAGTATTACATATATTTAGCACTTAAACCTGAAGGTTTCCATGTTGGTGTTTCAAACTTTAATATGCAATGTTTGACTTTTAACATCTGTTTGTACAGTAAAATCTATATACACCTGGAAATACGCAGCTTGAATAAGGCACTGTAAGCAGATTAATACAACCTAATGGGTTGTGTAAAACTGTCAGTGTTGAGTAATTTGTTCTGATTTTAGACAAAGGCAGACTGAAGACCCCTGTGGAGCATAATGCTATTACGATAAATCTGAGGTGGTGCAGGAAGGGTCAGTGAACATTTTCCTCAAATGTATTTCATAACGTCTTAAAGGCTTTACCTCTCTTGCTCCAACATAACATCTGTCGGTCCACTTGTTAAAAATGAAAATAGTTCATTTGATCAATACTACAACACCTCTGCAATTAGGATCTGGATTATTTTGCTCTTTTCTGAAGGTTGGACTTGGTTTGCACTAGACATGTGGAACACTACAGTCATCTCATCTCTGCTGTAAAAGCAGCACAGACTGGATTGTCTGTTTTTGTTCTGGAATCTCACGTTTTTGTTACAGTTGCCTGTAAAAATAGAACAAGAGATTGTGTATTTCATTTTAATGTACATTTTTGCAAAGATTAAACACTGCTTATGGTCTTGTAGAAATTAATAAATTATTTAAAGATGTTTCCTTGCTTCTTTCTTGATTTATATACTTTAAATAGACCTTCTGGTCTTTAAATAAGTATTAGAAATCGTCTTGGTTTACCCAAATCCCTCCCATTTAAGTGATTAAATGTATTAATTGGATTACAAAGTTTAAGCCATATGGCACTTGAGCTAAAATCATGACCACTATATGTCATAAGCGATTAGAAACCAAAAGTAAATCAGTTTGTGCTCAAGTTTGTTATTTTATTACTTGAACATTATAGAGCTACGAGTTTTGTATTTAGTGTTGTTTTTATACATTGTTATTTATACAGTCATCCAGAATGTAGTTTTAAATCCAAAATGTACCTCGCTGGCTGTAGTAACCAGTGTCTAATAGACTTGCTAATTGATTTACCTCTAAACAGAGACGCTTCCTCTCCAGTGCAGCTCTGATTCTGAACACCTCCCTCCCTCTCCTCCAGTCGTCCTCTTAAGGCTACTTCGCCAGATGGTGCAGCAAGCAGCCTTTTCTTTTGTTTACCCATCGCCTCTGAGTTTACCTTACTAACCTTGGCTACAAAACTATGGACACGGCACGACCGACATCATCACCGGATGCAGAAAAGTAAGTTTTCGTCTGTTGCTAGCTGCCTTGCTTCACCAAACATCTTTGACAAAACATGAAAAGACCCCATCTTCTCCAAGTTACAGCTTTGTACAACTCTTATTCCTGCCAGCTGTCCCCATTCCTTGATATCTTTTGCCTATGTCACGTTGGTGTTATCTAACCAATGCCTGGTCTAATGTGTTTATTGTCGCTGGTACTGTCATTGTTAAAATTGTGAAATCTAAGTTTTCCACCTGTTGAATTTGTGACAGGCGATACTTTTTTATTTGTGGAACCTCAAGCTAACTTTTTTTCAATTTATCCACATAACTGTTCAGGGATTTGATAGGCAGCGCAGTTAACCAATGGCAGCCTCAAAAAGTCTGTATACAGTTCCGTTACTGTGGCAACAGACCGACATTCCAGATTTCGGGATGCTAGAGGCGGGACTAAGATATTAGCACTGTTGGTTGCGCGTAGTGAAGTAAGTTATACCAAAAAGTTTTAAAAGTGAAGACAAGTTAAGACGCATGTATTCGTTTGAAGCACACGGACGTTTAGCGTTACTTTGATGTCGATCTTTAACATTTAGCATGAGTTCATATTTAGCTGTTTTGAGCTATTTTGCTAACCGATTATCCTTGCTAACCTATTTCCTGTTGCATTGGCTGGCTGAACTGCATGTAATTTACAGTGCTTTCATTTACAATCATGCACCAAACGAACGACAGCGTTAGCAGACAAAGGACTATTATTCTGTAAAACAGATGTCAGATTTGTTCGGCAGGCTCGTGTTACCGCAGACTGACAGAACTCAGGTGTGCGCACCTTTAGACTCCGCCTACTAATCTACCTCGTGTTCTTCATGTCCCGCTTCAGTCACACACCTCTCCGTCATCTTTTATTGTATTTATAAAACGCCTAAAACTTGTTAATAGATCATTGAAGAAGATCACATTGTTATTAATGTAAATCACAGGCATGTTATTGTGTGATTATGGACCACACAGGCATTTGGTGTATTAATTCCTACATGGTTTTGTTTCTGTCCTTTTCATTTTATTTAGAAAATGTTATTTGGAAATCAATAAACTTAATAACTTACCGGTTTATGACATAAATGCTCTAATCATTTTCATTGTGTTGATAGGCACACTGTTGGCTTGTAAGGATGGACACCAGGATGTTACTCGTATCTCATCAACGCAAGAATTACGGCTGAGATTTTCACTTCAGCTGTACTATTTTCTTCAGCTCTCAGTTGTCAAAGATCTGGATATGATGTGAGGACATGTCTTGACAGAAGTATATATAGTATCATAACATTTGGCACAATGTTTAGACAAATGGACACATCATCTAAGAGGCGTGGGTTCAACCTGCCTCCTGCGTGTCAGCAGGGGCGTATCCGGGCTGTAGAGGTAGCCAGAGGAAGAACTGGATATGGATTTACTCTGTCAGGACAAAGTCCCTGTGTCCTTAGCTGTATTCTTAAGGGCAGCCCAGCAGACTATGTGGGACTGCGATCGGGGGACTACATTCTTTCTGTAAATGACATCAATGTTTCTAAAGCTTCCCATGAAGACGTAGTCAAACTCATTGGCCGTTGTTCTGGTGTTTTGAAGTTGGTTATTGCTGAGGGGGAAAGACCAAAACGACACCATCACCAACGTAATGCAGGTAGCCGGCATCACAGCAGCAATAATGTGGCAGCAGCTTTTGTGGACTCCTGCTCCAGTGATGATGAGTTGGACTATTTCTATGATAACAGCATAAACAACAATAACAATAGTAGCAGGGCTGGGGCCAGAGCTGGTTGGTACAAGCCCAAAATGGATGCAAAAACTATGGGCATAAACAGAGCAGAGAAGGTAGTAGCTGAACTGCAATCTGGGGGTATTTTCAACATGATTTTTGAAAATTCCAGCCACTCATCCAGCAGTTCAGACAAAGAGAGGGTCACATCCGTATCCAAACCACGTCCACTCTCTGATCTGGAGTATCCCCCTTATTGCCCACGTTCCCATAGCAACCCAAACTTACTGTCTGAGGAGGAGATGGCCCAGGTTGTCAATGATGAGGCCTTTTTTCTGGACACAGACTTCAGACATCTTCACCTCCATCAGCAAGAGGGGGATGTGGGAAATGGAGGGGACTTGGGCATAGAGTCAAATGAGGGCATCCTAAATGTAGGGATGATTGTTGGATATCTTGGATCCATTGAGCTAGCTTCCACAGGAGCTAGTTTAGAGAATGACAGTTTACAGGCCATCAGAGGGAGCATGAGGCGACTTCGAGCTGAGCAAAAGATCCACTCTTTGGTAATGATGAAGGTATGTCTAACTCACTATTCACATGTTTTCATTTTTATAGCACACATCATTGTCTCCATAGTAGAAATACTGACCAAAAATATCAGCAGAGGTAATCAACCACGGGTTTCTTTGGGTTCTCTGGTTCCTAAACAGCATTGGCCATAAAAAAACCCATATAGGGTGATTTCTATTTTACAACTTCAACAAATACATACTTTATTTACTTTATGAAAGATTTTATTGTCAGACTTCTCTGTGCAATACCATGTAATTCCTTTTTACTAGGGTTAGATGTTACCAAACTTTTCACAAGTACCCCCTACAGAAATATTTGGCTTTACAATTACCACCAGATTCCAAAAGACTATCAAGTCTAAGCTAGAGCTTAATCAGATTTAAATTAGGGATGTGTACCACAGTTTGAGGAACACTGTTAGCGAGTTTGGGTTACATGTATTTTTTTTCAGTGATAAAACACATTAACTACTCTCAATGATAATAGTATTTGTATACTGCAAAATGTTCTTATTGTGCAATAATCATAGTATAGCACTTTTGAATGAATTGATTTTTTAAAAATGTTTTTGTACAATGTATCTATCCTCTGCTTTCCCAGGTCATGCATGACAGTGTCCGTCTGTGCAGTGACAGGAAGCAGATCTTGGCCATGTATCCCGCAGAAAAACTGGCCTTCAGTGCGTGTTGTCCAGATGACCGTAGATTCTTTGGGCTGGTCACAATGCAGGCCTCAGACGACCAGGATGACCGATACTTTAACACTAACAGAGATGATGAGAGTGGTTTAAGAACATCTTGCCATGTTTTTATTGTGGATCCAGAGCTCTGCCAGCACCAGGTATGAAGTTTACATGATGGTTTCTATCATTAGTATATTCTAAATTTCTTAATGTTTTATTTACTTACTTTTTACTTACTCCTTCCCTACAGGTTCACCTGAGTATTGCATGCAGGTTTGGCTTTGAGTGCACCCCAGACCCTGACACAGGGGGCTGCCTTGAATTTCCTCCCAGCTCTCAGCCTCTTCTGCAGTTTGTTTCTGTGCTGTATCGAGACATGGGTGACAATATTGAAGGTGTGAGGGCGCGGGCCTTTCAGGATCCTGACAATGACGCCCAACAAAACCACAGCACAAGCAGCAACAGTGACAGTGGCATTGGCAATTTTCTACCTGAGGAAAAGAGCAACAGGGTGCTCTTAGTCGACCTTGGCGGACCTCCTGCTAACAACTATGTCCCAGGACCCCGTCACTGGGACAGCCCCCCGTCATCTCAGCAGGCCTGGAGCCCGACCCTCGGAACAACGGCACACCCCCCTCCACCCCCTCCTGTGGCTCTGAGGAATGGTCACTATCGCCATGACTCCCACCTGGCCGACCTCCCTCACCCGCTGCCCCTGTCGCACCATGAAATGCCCCGAAGAGGGGTCCACCCACATCACTTTTCCCCAGGGATACGTGGAGGAGCAGTGGGAGGAGCTATGGGAGGGGCGGAGCCTCAACGATGGCTACCAGTCCATGTGCTGAGAGACTGGAGGCAACAGCACCACCTCGGCCTGAGCAGTGACCAGGAGTCCTACGCAGAGTCCACGGACGGATGGTCTTCAGCCAATTGCAGCACCCTGCCCCCACCCATGAGTAAAATCCCAGCTGACCGCTACAGAGCCCCACTGGCCCCTGGGGACCACCTGCCACCTCCGCCTCCCCCTCCACAGACTCACAGCCACCGGCTGGCTGCTCAGAAAGATGAGTGGGCTAAGAAACTGTTTGGTGACAGAGACAGACCTACGGCTGACAGAGGGGACAGAGATAAGAAGCGAGGAAATACCAAGGAAGGAGAGAAAAAGGTAAGTTTTGACTGAAGTACTACACAGGTACTGAAATACATCCTTTGAAAACTATTTTATTTTTGTGTTGTCCTTGTTACTTTTCTGTCTTTGTAATGTCTTGTATTTGGTGCACCAGTTTTGTATGATAGTGAAATGAAAGATGGTGTGTGAGTTTGTGGACTGAGGGTTTTTGGTGGAGTTGTGTTAAAAGTGACTCTAAGATGAGAAGACTGGATTGTAGAGAGCATCCCCCATCACACAACACTGCTGTGGAAATTTACTCTGGCCACTCTGTGTCCGAGACCATACTTTATTGAAGCTATAAATCTATCTGTGTTTGTCCTGATGCACCTATCTCTCTCTCACCTCCAACCATTTACCTCATTCACCTGGAGTAAAGAGAAAAATGCTAATATGAAATAATTGCAGATCCAGTCTGGCTCAGACTTAGAATAACTTATTTATCCCACTGCTCCAGTATCAGATCATGCATTATGCACAGGCCCAGCATCTGCCACCACCTGAAAACCACCTGTTCCCCCCTTCTCTGGCAGGGACAGTGGTGGATTACAGTTCTAAAACTTTGTAAAAGCATGATGGACTACTTATGAACAGTATTTTCATAATATTTAGGAAAAAAATACAATATATCAAGTATACAGTCTAGAAATAAAAATATGCTATCAGCTATGGTTGTAGTTGTGGTTAATTTAACACTTTTTGTGCAGTATTTACACCTCAACCAAGACATGTACAGGCATACTAATAATATTGTCTGAATATCATCATCAGTATACTCCCAAAAATATGACATATAAAATTTTGTAAATATTTACCAACCCTAACACTGAATACTAGAGAAGCACAAAGCACGTGTATTTGAAATCCAGTGCTCTCATAACAAAATATGCTGAGATCTGATTCCTACAAACAACTTGTATCAAGGTCACTAGAGTAGACTCACATAATTCTATGTAACTATATATTTTTGTTTCTTTTTTTTTTTTGGCTTACATGGAGCAGTATTATGTCAGTCTCAGCTCATTGAAATGAGAGCGCACAGAAGTTATACTTTTTTGTTTTGTTTTTGGCACCTAACAGCATATTTAAACTTTTTTTGCTATTGTCAGTTCTATTGGCTGTATGTTAATTTTTACCATATGGTGGCACTGTTTCACTACTGAAATTAACTCGAAGATTTCAAGTCATTTTTAGTCTCTGTTAATTAAAGTCTTTTGGAGATTCCCTTTATCTTCCTGACTGTTAAGGTTTGACTAGTTAAGATCAGACAATTCTATGGTGGTATTATATAGATTTTTGGCCAGTCCATTTCTATCTGTGATCCAAATACTTATTAAAGTCATCTTCTGCTCCCACTACACAATTACTTATAAGTTTAGTCAGATAAGATCTTGTCTGATCACAGCCGAGTTTGGTCTGGTTAGTACTAGGAGGATGGGACACCACAGGGAGACTTCATCTACCTTACCTGCCTTATATATGCATGCTTTGCATGTGTGTGGTTGGTGGTTGTAGGGGCTGATGGCAAAGATTGGCAGCTTTGCTTTTGTCAGTCAGTCCCAAGTCAGTTGTGGCTACAGAAGATACAGAAGCTCCCTTGAGCGTATATTTAACACTAATGCAAAATTAAATTCACATTTTTGATCTCATACTCGGAATGTTCCTATTTGTTTGCTTGTAACCACCATCTAAAAAAAAAAAGATGTTCTCACCTTGACTCATTAAAATGTCACAGAGCGGTCATGTAGGACTCTGTTTAATTATCACTTGCTTTTGCAAAGCCTTGTCAGAGCGAGTGTCAGGCTCAGACACATCAGCAGCACATGCAGAGTCAGTATCCAGGCAACACCACTGGTCATCTCCTGAAGAAACCAGACCTGCCTCTAATCAGCCCCACATCACATTCAACACGTGTTGGAGCCTGGCTGCTCTCATAATTACCCACAAGTCAACTGGACTCCACTCACAGTTACTGTTTTAGTGAGGCCAGCGCATGCCATTGTTGAGAAGGATAAAGAATGCCATAGTTTGATTGATGTCTGATGCTAGCTGTGCACCAGTATCACTTTTATCTTTTACACCAAGGCAAACTCTCTATCTGATATTATTACTTCTCTTAATAAAAAAAAAAAAGAAATGCTCTAAGATTGTACAGCCTCTGTGATATAACCACACTGCCAACACTTGATTTGACTATTTTTAAAACAAATGTATAATGTATCATCCCAGAAATGAATACTTGTGGGACATACATGAAATTAAGTGATGCAACCATAGGCATTCAAGGACGTTCTTTCCTCCTTGGTCTCTAAAGTTTTGTAAATTGTTGAATCAGCTAATATCCTAAATATTGATTACATACCCTGTACTGGGCAGTATTGTGATTGTATCTTAGCATTGTATTTAGTATTACTGAAAATTGCAACATTGGCTATTTGTTTTATGTGATTTTTCACACATATCCAAAGGTTTCTGAAATAAACTTGATTTGTGAGTGACTATATAATTAGGGGCACATTTCATGTCTGCTGGTTGTATTAATCAATTGTACAATTATGTCGTTGAAGCAATGATTTTTGTAAACATTGGATCACCATTCCCTCTTTGGACAAAATTATCGGACCTGATGACATTATTGATTTTTGCTGAATCAATAATTTTCTATGGTGTAGATAAGAAGTTTCACTTTATTTATAAGCTTCTGAAACTATATCTTAGTAGAACATCGCATATGTAACAACCTAAATGTAAAAAAACGACTGACTTGACTGTTTTAAAACATTCATGCTCATTATTTTTATTTGAAATATTTTATCATGTGCCTATCTAGTTGCTGACAACTGGCTAACACCTTGAATAATCCCTACAGAAATCCCTATAAAATGGCAGTGGTTCACTCTAAAGTCACAAACTGCTCAGGATTTACCAGGTTCTTTGAAAGAATCATCCTGTTTTATTTTGTAACTACCCTCAAAACTTTTTAGACATCAGCTGGATAAAGCACATATTTGTGTGGAATGACCCTGATTTTCAAAATAGCAAGACAATAGGAAAAGAAAGAGTTTAATTACAAAAAAGTTATTTAAAGACTTTTAAAACATGAGCCGTATCCCTAATTATAAAATCATCCTTAAACCTTAATCATTACCAACTGTTTACTACATATTTATAACCAGATGCAGCTCTATCTGTTTACAGCACTTTTCTCTGTGGTTACGTCATACTCAGGTGGCACTAGGCAATAAATCCTGATGAGGCAGTGACTAATGAGCGCTCATTTCAGACCCAGGTTTATGGTGTCATGTAACAGTTGCCAGATGCTTTAATTTCCACAACCACTAACAATTATGTCAAGTTAACACACAGGGTTATAAGTCAGTCATTATCATTTTGAAAATAAATAAGTAGTATAGTTCTTAGTGTTGTAACGGTCTTTTTTGGAGAAAGTGCAAATCTTCGCTGTAGGACAAATCTCAGGACTGTACATGCCTGTGTGTAACATGTGGAATTTATCATTGCAATGGTGAAGAGTCTTGAAGAGGCATGCGTGTAAGACAGGCTTCAGGCCAGAATTGAGACTAAAGACATATTCTTGTCAGCAAATAAAACATAAGAAGGGTGTAAAAGTCAGCGATGCTTGGACCAAAACATGTTTTTCAGGCATTCCTTGTGTTTTGTTGTTGTTTAATATAATATATTATAATAAATGGTGCTTCAAATTAATGTTATTACACACACAATATTATACACATTGTATTGGTAAAGTTACTGAACTTTTAAAATTATTCATCACTTATCTTTTATTAGCGTCTTTTAGAAGATCAAGTGCAAATTACATGTTTGCTTGAGAAATCGGATTCTTGTGGTTAAGAAAGAAAAACGTATTTTTAGACACATTCCTATTTTGCATCACAGCTTAATGACCAATTTACTCCAGTCTATCTTAGAAACATATTAAAAATAAATAACCAACAACTGAAATAAGTTATTTAATTTTTGTTTTCTGTCCATATCACATTTGTTGTTGTTGTCTGCTTCAGGGGAGTCGATTTCGTGGCCTGACCATGGGTTTTCCTCCTCTGCCCCAGCGTTCCTCTGCCCGCCGCTCCTTTGGCCGCTCCAAACGCCTCAGCCTGGCCCGCTCGCTGGATGACCTGGAGGTATGACTCAACAGTAAGGGTTAGAGTAGATATACTGTACAGTGAGACCCCTATTCACCATCCACACAGACTTACTGCAGTGCTTGTGTTATTGTCACATTCAAGCCTCCCATGCACCATCTCCCTCTAAAAATAGTGGCTCATGAGTATCATACATGACACGTCAAGGCCTCCGCTAGCATCACCGTGGCAACGTACAGAAAATCATAGCTTGTGCAGTACAACCAGTTCTTTGCTTCTTTGTATTTAAAGTTTTACTGAATGTACTTTCCTTTCTTAGCTCCTTATAATTGCATAATTGTTTATGAAATACAATAATTTATTATTTGCACTTAGCTTTTTCATGAATTGATCTTACTACATTTAGGACTGGACAATGACAAATTATTTAAATAATCACTATGGTTTTCCTTCTATTGATCGACCACGTTTTTTGTTTTATTTTGTCTTATCAAAAATAAAATTGCCTTTCAATGTTAATTTTAACAAACTTTAATCATTGCAATTTAAGGCAAAAAAAAAAAAAATGCTTTTACTTTATTGGCAGAATACCCCTCAATTAAAAAGATCTTAGCTGATCATTGAAAACAATTAGAAAAACAATTAGAAATACTTTAATCTCCATCTCGAGTAAACTAAAATAGACTTCACAGCCCTAACTACAATGCATCTTTGCAGCAACTACTTAACAATACCAGCTTTCCAATACTGGTTTGTTGAAGTAAACCTAGTGACTAGAAGTATTTAGACAAACCTACTGTTGATGTAAACCTATTGTGTTTTAGTATACAAGAAACAAACCCTTGACTCAAAAGTTTAGCCATTTGCACACTTTGGTTTCTTTTACCAGTATTTCTGCTGACTGTGCTCATAGTCCATCACTATAAGAATGGTCGTTTTGCCTCAGGTACAAACTCTGTATCTAGTCACTTGAGAGACATGAGTTTTGCTAAACAGTGTATCTATTTAGTTAAGCTCAACAACACTTATAGTTTGCCTGCTGTGGTCACTGTAGTACTCTTTGGAGGAACTGTACAAAAGATTGCTATCATGGTTAAACACTATGAAATCCTTAAGGCAATTTTGCAAGACTGCAATTATTTCAACAAACTTGCAGGGTTTGTATACTCATAGAGCATAATTAACATTACACTCTTGGCATAAGTGGGAACAGAACATGCAGTTTTTTGGTTATAATTTGAAACTTAAATTTACATCTATTTTTTGCATCTATTTTATCCATTTGTGCTTCTTAAAGCTAAATTCACACCCTTTACACACACACACACACACACACACACACACACACTTTTTTTTTTGGTGATTCAAAACAGTTGCTCCTTCTCTTTTTCGTGAGATAGTGATCTGAGGAAAGGCAAACATTTCCGCAGTTTTGTGGGTACTGCGACTCACTGGCATCACTTAAGCAGATCTTAAGATGTGGCTACAAGAATGAACTGACAGGAAAATTGTGACAGTCAAAAAAGAAAATAAAACATGGGGATTGTTTTTGATATGCTTGTGGCCCTGAAACATAATATCTGTTCTCTGATAATCTTTTAACATTTCACTTTAAAATGTTCCTGCATTAGTAGTTTTTGTGGCAATTTTCAGACAAATATGCTCATCACAGTTAGATTTCTTTTAGTTCCCAGTACATAATTTAAAATTATCTTTAGCATTAACATTTGAGAGAACATAAATCTATTATAATACAAGGGGTGTAACAAGATCCAAGTCTCATGATACAATATTGTCACAGTATGAACCTCATGGTGGAGAAGCTCACGATTAGGGTTGTAAGAACACCCAAATCTCTCGGTACGATATTTTCACGGTATACATCTTACGGTATGATATTAATTGCAATATTTTGTGGAGGCTAAACAGTTAAAACTGTTAATATGCTACATTTTCCTCTTGAAATGCCTTGACAAAGTCCTTAGAACTGTTATTTCTTCATGTAGTCTGCACTGTAATGGAGCAAAGTATCATGGCCTATGTAGTTCCCTCTGTCTTTTTTTTTTTTTAGCTATTGCTGCACCATAACACTTAATTTAAGTAAAAAGACTTGTGATTCGATATTTTGTGATGGTCCACGATATTATTGTGAGAATTTTGACAATACGATATCACGATACACGATACGTTACACCCCTAATAAATACAGAAATGAGTAGATGTTTGTAGAGGTTTAAACTACAAGATGGACTTCTGTAAATGAGGTCAGTTCTCCACTCTGTTATTGAGATAGATAAGTTTAATTCCATACTGTGGAACTTTTCAGGCAGGCAAAGTAATAACATTTCAGGCAAAGTAATGCAATTTCAGACAAGTAATAAAATCTCCATTGAGAAAAGTTACATAGTGTACCTTTTATGTATTTGTATTTTATTTTATTTATTTAAGGATATGTGATGATCCATCTCTTTTTCAAAGGAGTCCCAATAGTATTAGTAATAGTATACTAACTAGTGTTATATTACATTGACAGTTGATTGATTATAACTATTCAGTCTATGATTTTTTTTTTTTTAGTTTGCCATTATTGCTGCAGCTTCTTCTGAACACTGATAAGACATTGATCATGCAACAAAAGGCATGCCCAAACCTGCCCATCATGTCAACTGTTAATTTGTCATGAAACAATTACCAGTCCTCCCTCTCTCTCTCTCTCTCTCTCTCTCTCTCTCTCTCTCTCTCTCTCTCTCTCTCTCTCTCTCTCTCTCTCTCTCTCTCTCTCTCTCTCTCTCTCTCTCTCTCTCACTCTCTTTTGTCTTTTCTTCAGCCCACCTTTTTCTTCTGGTCATTAGGCCTTTTCCCCCTTTTGCTTCTCGTGCATTTATGTTCACAAACAGAGGGGGCTTTGTATCAGGAGAGGGGCAAGCAGGAGGGATGTGTGTGTGCCCGGATATTTATCAGAATATGGGGACTAAAATCTGTACACACTGCCTGCCTGTTTTATAGGGACAAAATTAGGTTTCCATGATGTAAATTCTTTATTTATTATGGTTCTTTATTATCACATGGTTTTAGTTTCAGATATGGGTTAAAAGAGGTTAAGATTAGAGTTTAGGTTAAAGATCCAATATTATGCAGTCATGCGTAAGTCATGTTATAATATTGTTACCTCCTCCATAACATACCTGGAGTTCTGTTTTGTTTCATTCAGTACATGTTTGAGTAATCCTTTTTAATTAGTCTGTTTGATGGCAATGATGAGATTGGCATTTCCAGGTTTAAGCATCACATGACATCACAAGGTGGAACAGAGTGTTTTCTGTTTGTGTGCATATATGTGCGTGTGTGTGTGTGTGTGTGTGTGCGTGTGTGTGAGAGAGTTCATGTGGTGACAGTGGTGGGGGGTAAAGGGGTTTGAAACGTAACTTCTAATGAGTGCCGATGATCCATAAGCTGACAGTCTCCTCGTTAGGGAAGCTTGAGCACAAAGAGCAGAGAGGAAAAATTCACACAATCTGCACAAACACCAGTTACACTAGATTAATAAATTACATTCTTGAATCATTTACACAGAAAAAATATAAGTGTAACATGTTCTTATTGTATCATAACTGCAGCAGCACAGACCTTTTAATTGTGAATGTTTTGTGTGCAAGGTCAGTCCCTTTAGTTCATCTCAAGGTAAAGCTCTGAAACAATAGCATGCACTCAGGTGGAAAAATCACATAAAGACAAAAGCAAGAAAGTTATGTTCAAATATGGTTGCAGAGGATCAGAAAAACATGCAAATGACAAGTGGAGGCGCTGCAATATTGTGGATGCTGTTTTGAAGGAAAAATATCAGAATATTGGATATATCATTTTACAGTAAATCACCTTCTCAAAATGTTGCAAAAAGAACTGATAAAAGATGTTAATCAGTATTATGTTGTAATCTTTCAAAGAAGGGTGTAAAATACAAACTTAAATATTTTTGCAATTTTGTGAATAATTTTACAGTCCTTTCACATTTTTTTAATAAAAACCTCAGCTAATACATTTAAAGACACTAGGCTCATTTCACAAGGCTCTTTTCTGTTGGTTTGCCAAAATATCTTCTGATTATTAAATACATTTTAGATTGTTGTTAGATTATTGTCAGGGGAAAAAGAATCACCCACAACTATTGGCAAGTGAAAATGCTACTAGAAACTAGAGTTTTTTATTTATTTTTATTTATTTTTTAGTTTGTTAGGAAAACAATGACTTTACCAGAGCTAAAACTAATATTTTGCAGCTTACAATTAGTTTTTAATGTGACTAAATCTCATATGGGGAGTCTCACTGATATTGCAATACCAGTCCTTTTGATGTACTGTATGCAGTGCATCTTTAAAGCTTCAGGTTTGCCTTGGCCTTTTTCATTCTGCTCCGCTGTATGATTGGATAAAAACATGCTGACATAAGTGCACTCCTCGAGGACTTGGTTATAGAAGCTGGAATCAGTCTTAAGTGTCTGAGTGGTTCGGAGGGAGAGAGAATTTCAGCTAAAACAAGCCCTGGTAATCAGACAGAGGTTAAACGCATACACAAGAGCCAGAGAATTGACACAACACGCTGATTACAGCACTGATTGCTGCTGTTTCTTTACGAATCAAAAGCATAAAAACTGAAAGATATTGTTAAATTCCATGTATTTTTGTGCAGTGGGTTGTATACTGATAAAAGCTATGTTTTGGTTTTTACCCCCAATTCATACTAAGGGCTCAGATACACTCAAACAAACCTATTTTGTTTGTTTGAGATTAGTGTTACAATGCAAAGATTTCTAACTTGATTTGGATACTTGTTGCCATGATGAAAAAAGACAATACACTTGCTGCCCTTAAGATACAATGATGTACCAGTCCTATAGTGAACTCCTGTATCAACACAGCTAAATGTTAGTTTCTTGTTCATTTCAACATTTGGCAACACTACTTCAGATGTTGTTGACTGGTTAAACACATTAAAGCCTCACCACGTAATTTCTAGCCGAAGGACTAGAATAAAAACATTTA